TGCGACTGTCGCGCCTGCGCACGTCTCATTTAACGGTTTTATTCCACGGATTTTTTCTTACGGTTTAACTATCACATTTTTTTCAGTTCGGTCGCGCAGCAAAATCCCTATCCAAGCCTGCCGTAAGGAACTTCGTTCCAATAAATATTTTGAAAATCAGAAATCCGCAAGGGATGCGTACCAATAGTCGCGTAGCGGACTATGCCTACACTCTCTCGGAAACTCACGGGAGACCTCTACCCAGCAGTGGGACTTATATATATAAAGGCTCTTACTTTATTTTGAATTAACGCTCTTACAAACATATTCTGGCTGTGCATTGGCTGTGCATGTATAACGGCGATAATTAAGTGAATCATATATAGTTCTGTAGAAATCTATTTTGATCTATGTCTAAAAAAAAATAATTAATTTGTATTCAACAAACTGGAACATACAATTTAAGGCTTAAAAACTACCACATGTGCTCTAATAAAAAGAATATAAGAGAAAAGTAGGTTTTGGCATTCATGAAAGCTTGAAACGAAAAAGTCTAAATTGAGAATACGAAATCATTATTTATTTGGCAATTAACGCGTAAACATCTAGAATCTTCTATAGCGAGTATTTCGTAGTAGACTTCTACATACACTTATCAGTGTCTGCTATGCTATCGGCAACAGACGAATTTGGGTCCTTCATAAAAATATCGTGTTTATCACGAAAGGCCTAACACGTGGACTTAATTATAAAATTGATTAAATTTAAAAGCCACTTGTTTGTGTTGCACGAGAACGTGCAATGATGATGTTTTATTTATATATAAGGACGTGGATGACAGCGATAATTTTGTTACGAAATTATATAATCCATTGAATCCTGTTATTTTAGCCTTTTCTTTTTCGTTGACATGAACCTGTTTAGATCTATAACGTCTGGCCTCAAAATGTTCCATTTTTAACGTCATCTTTACTGGATAATGTTGACTTTCAAGTTTCATTCCTAAAGGGGAACGCTGCCAGTATCTTCGGAACCTTGCATAAAGGGACTCCTTTTAATAATATATTTTAGTTTTATATTATATAGTTTTAGGCTACAGTTATATTATGTGAACATATTAGTAATATCATTTAGTTATTTACTTTTTTGACATTGAAGTATGATATACTTGTTCATTTTCCCGCTACGATTATCTTAAAGACTATCGACTTTTATGAATGCACAAGTCTTCATAAATTTTTCAACACTCAAAGGTGGTTACGACCCGTCGATGCGAGTTATTTCATTTTATATTTCAAATGAATGATAACTGAGCATAGGGTTCACCTGATGATAAGTGAATACTGCCGCTTATGGGCGGTAAACAGTCACGACATCAATAACACATACTTTTTCTTCATGCAGGTCTTCTGTGCGTTCGTACTACCCCGATGGACTTAGCCTTTTCGTACAACTACTATTGAGCCGTTATATAATCTGTCGATGTTATTCCACAATCAAAAACCCAAACATCAGGAAACCAAAACAAATAACATGAATATTATTTTATCTAATATATATTTCTTAATAACAATATCACGGCTTATCTTTTATTATAATCTGATAACATAATGAATGTTTGCGATGTGTCTGGCCTACAATAAACCAGCATTGGATTTCTTGAAATACGTGATATAAAGTTTGTCTCAAACTTTTTTCGTTTTAATTAATTTTCATATGACTTTTTATTTTCACTTTTAGTCAAAGGTATCTTTCGTATTACGAAACACATTATTTAGTATGTATATATATGGGACCAATGACATTTTATTTACATCATGCGCCCGCATTGCAGCACGAAAACCTGCGCATAATATCGTTTTTACGACTCACGCAGACAAGTATACTAAGAAAGTAGACGAAGAAAGTAGTAAAACATTACAGCATCCCCGGTATTAAAAAGAGACAAATTGAAACTGAATTGATGGCACGTGACTGACTATTGGGCAAATACCTCGCTAAAAACGCAGAGCGTACAACCCACCTATAGTAGTAATGTTAAAGGTAATATATTTATATCATACTATTTGACCTGCAGACGTTCTTATCTCTGCAGTAGTTGGCGCAGTATCGTGAGATAATCTCATCATCGCGACATAACGAAGCGAGACATTTATTATGTAAATATGATCTAAACGACCAATAAGATTATATTATGTTCACTAACAAACGGTCTAGGGTTTAACATACTACAGACATATTTCTTACTCGCGATCTGAGTTAAGAATCGTGTTGTAAATTCCGATTTACGGAGGGTATACGGAGTCAAGAAACTCGTTAAAAACTAATGACTATAAGGTTGAGACATCCATTACTAGTCTATATCTACCTAATTATAATAAAATTAAGTTAAAGAGTGTTACAAATGTTAAAGAACTCTATATGCAATTACCAAACATCTATCGTCTCACTGATTTACTAGGAAAAATAATTAAAAAGTTTTATTATTTGATAATGAATCGGTACATGATAAATTAAAAATGGCTCTGAAAATGATTAAAACGATCAGTTATTTCAAAATAAACTTATTATACTTTTCATATTAACTAAACTACGCTTCATCTAACAAACTCAACCCATATGGCACGGTGTCTAGAACGTTAGCTTCGTTTCCTCGCGGAATTTAAAGTTAAAACAGCCTCTCGCAGGCGATTTGTTTCTAGCAGGTACACAACACATATAATTGAAGAATCTTTCACAATGATTTCTGGTGTATCAGAGATTAACTGATTACATACAAAGCAATAAACACGTCAATTTCAGCATATCCTTTTGTATTATTTATTAATATAATTTATTTTGTATTATTTATTAATAATTTTTAAAATACATCGCGCATGTTTCATGATTACAATTTAATGTCAAAGTCAATTAAATACTGTTTAAGCTCTTCTAAAACATACAAATTAAAAATTTCTTTATTCAATATAGGCTCATTTTAAACTCTTTAAACAAACACGGGCTCACTAATGAAGACCTGAACAGCGAAGAACCAGTAAGTAACTATGCGGTCTTCTTCTCTTTTTTTTAATAACACAAGTATTCATTAAAAAATCGGTATGAGGTAAACAATGGAAAAATGTAAGTAAAGAAACTAGTTCCGCCCAATTTCATGTTATCTGTTTAAGCGTTACTCTACTGTGGTAAAGTCAAACAGAAGTTATTTTGTTGTGTGTCCAGGAGGATTAGAGCCTCCCTGAAGTTTTTACTGTTTTCATATCGTCTGGTTAGTAAGGTGATATCAACAGGGGCCCACCATCTTAAAGGTTGATAAACCATCGGCAACCAAACAGGTCTTTTGATCGTTCATGGGCAGCGTAATTACTTAACGTAAACTGTCCGCTTCTTTGCTACTTTCTTCCTTTAAAAATGTCGCACCTCTACTGAACTATAGTGTACTCTATCTGATCCGTGACGACACTGGTCAACGGAAAAATCCGCCGGATGGACGTCAGAGAATCCGCGTCGGACCCCCGTTACCCAATTCGGCGCGGACGTTTGGTGAGATATCAGTGTAAACAGACGCACCCATCGCCGCACAATCGGGGTCAAGTTACTTACACTCGATAAGTGATGAGCGTTTTACGTTTTACAACGTACACTCGTTCCCTATCGTAGATAAAAATCGTTTTGGCGATAAAGGAACATGCAACGTTTAGTTTTATTCTGATCTGTGGTCAGTTTAATTTTTCGAATTCACAAAAATCCCCTCGCGAATTAAAATACCACCGTGGACACTTTTGGAGTTTTAAGATAGTTTAAAGCGTTGCAAACTTTTGAAATTAATTAACTGTTGCTCTGATGTTACGCTTGTGATCGCTGGTGTCCCACAAGGCTGCGTTCTATTCCCTACACTTTTCTTTCTGCATATACATGAGTTGTTACTTATTTGCAACATTTCTTGCTATGCGGATGACATACCGGTTAAGACTTATATTTTTGATGAATGTCGGAATAAACGCTGTGTCCTGAAGTCGAGGTTTCATAAAGGGTCGTTTATCGTATATACGCGTATATAGGCCTTAGTTAATAACTTAAATAATTCGTAGTAGAGATTCGATATCAAACTTGATTTGGCCGACGATTTCCGGCTGATTTAATATTCTAAACGAATTGCGACACAATTGGCTCCGGCAGAAGCCGGTGCCGAACCCTTATCAGTTTAATTAAAATAAAACTGACGAACAGACGGTCAGGCGTCTGTCGCGTGTCCGTCAAAGTCTACTCGTGTCCACACTTCCTCGCTTGCACGTGGCTAGGGGATCCGCGTTTTAGAATGCCCGAGATCGTTTCTGATCCATATATACCTATATTTATAATTCTGTGCGCGACTGAACAAAACCTAAACGGCTGGACCGATTTTGCTGAAGTGTTTATTTTTAATTATTTTTTTGTTTATAAATTGTATTTTTGTATTAAAGACGAGTGCACAGGACACCGTCTAACGGGTCCGCAAGTCGAGCTCGATAGTTAATTAACTTTATGATAATTTTCATTAGTATCTACGAATACGAAATGTTTTAAATTGAAATTTTGTGATGATATTAAAGCGTTTAATATAATTATTAATATTAATAGGTCACGGTATCACCACTGCACTTATTATGGTCACCGATGACATGAGAAATAGTATGGATGAACAAAAGTTCACAATGGTGGTGGACTTTTATACTGTTACAGAGTCCCTCCCTCAGATCCTTACTTAGCTTAGGTTCTCCCTGCTTTGGATTTGGTTTGAACCTTCATGGTCACCAACAGTCACTCCGCTGATGAAAGCAGTGTTTTGCCTGGACTGACGTAGATTCAGGTGCACCGTAAAGTCGCCATAGTTTTTGTTTATTAACTCCATCGTCTCAAGTGTTCATATATCAACATCTCATATCAACTGTTCGTATCGTGTATGGTGATGATCTTTAGATTTACGTCCAAGCACACATTAACTATTTCAATAGCTAAATAAACCTTAAAAACAATGATCTTAAATGAAAATTTGGAACTACTGTAATCCGTCTAAATACAAAGCTTTCGTTATTGGTGGTCTGCAGATGCTGGCCAGGACTGGCTATAGGTCTGGGCTTGAGACCTTATTTAAATTCAAATATCACATTCTCATCGGTGAAGGTACTTTTACCACGTAGGACCACGCAACAGTCTTCGCTGTTGCACGAATGGGCAGGTTTGTCCGAGTGTTCTACTTCTACGTTTCGTCTGGTGAGTAAGGTAGCCGAGGCCTAATTTATTATAAGGTGGCAACACATGTGCAGCCCTACAAGTTTTTTTGTGTTGCAAATTTTTATGGGCGGCGATTATTACTTAACATGATGTGAACCGCCAGCTCGCTTGCCACTTTCACACATAAAAAAACATCTTTAGGAAACCCGCATATTTTACTTTTTACTATGGATTCAAACTCCTGAAAGCGTAAATGGTGAGGAATATTTTATTCGATTTAATATAAAATATAATAGTATAATGGTCTTTCTTGCATTTTACAAGTTTATTACACAATCATCACTGAAGGAAAATATCATGAGACATGTTTACGAAATAATAATAAAAATAAAATATTTCGAAGATTTGTGAAGTCTGCCAATCCGCAGTGTGGTCGTGTGCTGGACTATTGCCAGAGCAGTTTTTCACCCAGCAGTGCAACATATATGGGCTGTTACTAAGATAAAGTAAAAAGTCAAGCCGCGATTTTTAAAAAGAATGAATGGAATGGAAAATCCAACGAAAACGAAACTTCAATGAAAACTGTTACAACCACTAACAAACGTTTAAGACCCTCCTGCATCCGAATCTTAAGCAATTAAATGGTGACGGCACTAAGAACAACAATTATGAAATAAATGACTAAGAGGAAACCTAATTTTAGACAATCGAGCAACAAGGTTTTTAAAGACAAATGAAACTTCCCCGTAGAAAAGCCCAGCAGCGTCGTCTACTGTCGTATTAATGCACGGTCTCGAGTGGGAAATTACATCGGCATGTCAGAAGACAGGGCGTTACGTGCTATTAATGCTTTTGGGTTTTAACTTTGAGCATGCGTCGGTAATGGTCTATCATTGGGTAAGCTTTCTCGTTTGCACCTCAATTTATAAGACAATCAGTACCAAAATATCAATAAAATACAAAAAAACAACAAATTGTGGGAGTTGTCTGTAATAGTGAATAGTTGTCATTTATTTCTTAATAATCTGATTGTTATGCGGTACTATATGGTCCAGAATTAGATAACTGTGTCTTACCTGCCTAACAACTGTCACACAATTACAGACGGAAAAAAGGATTTTCAATTTTTATTTTGTGGCATTAATTATCAAAAGCGACAAGCAACACGGTCATGATCGCCACGGGGTAGTTAACAAACGATTGTGATAGCTTAGTGTCCGAGCACTCTTATCCGAAAAGATCATAAATCCGATCCCTTTTAATGCGATATACTCGAGCAACTCGAGTTCAAATCACGGTGCAGGCACCAATGAAATTATTTATTTTTAAGTACTGATTTATCATGTGCTTGTGTGGAAAGAAAACATCGCGAGGAAATATTTTCAAAATAAAAAAAATATTCAAGTTATATTTTAACCACAGTTTAACAACCGTTGACAGTAACACAGAAAAAATTATAAAGTATAATACAAGTACATAGTAAAATGTTAAGGTATTAATAGCCTAGTGGATGAGACGCCAGGCTTGTGATCTGCGCCAGTGGGTTCAAACTTCAGTGAGATGCGTGAAAGTTTTTCGAATTCTGTAGCTTTTGGACTACATGATTTCAATGAAAATCTGAAGATATAGGGGTCTTCTGAATAGAAGACTCCGTTTAACCCCAACTGGATGGATATCCAGTTGGGGTTAAACGGCGCGCAAAGTTATTAACATTACAGAGTAACTTCTGAACACTAAGATATGAATATCGCGAAAGTAATACTTTAAAATGATTAATAATTCACAGAAACAATTCTTTACTCTACAATCTATCCGTTGACACCAATACCGATTGAATGTAAAAACGCAACTAGACATTATACAGATTATAAAAATAAAACACACAGCATTTTATTAACAAAAAAAAAACAAAACCGACTTAAATTATCTCACTTATAAATTAAAAAGCTAAACTGAAGGTAACGAAAAAATATTTTTTTTTTAAACAGTTTATAAATTACCGAGTTCTGAGATACATGAAAAAATTATGTACACGCGATCGATGTTATACTTCTTCGGCGTAACAACATAATTTTTTTTTCAAAAACGTTTTTTTCTACGTCTGTAGAAAAAATGACATTAACAATAGCAAAAAGATATTTAATACATTGAAAGTTCTATTATAACGCATTATCTAGTTAAATAAAGTTTATTAAATTATCACAAACAGATATAGTGAAAACAGTTGTCAGCTCTCACGCACGTAGGTGTCTAGCTAAACACAGTGTGTCGGTTTTTCGTGACGGTGTGCGCGTAAAAATTTACTCTCATCATTTTTCCCTAACGCGCCAAAAGGAGTATAACTTCAAAAAAATTCAGCCGAAACGAGAACCTCCTCCTTTTTTGTAGTCGATCTAAAACGGAATCGCGCGTTTTCTTCGGTGAAATCTTTATTTCTTCAAAGTTCCTCGTCCGTTTTATTCGTCTACTGTTGTAGGGTCACGCAACAGTCTTCGCTGTTGCACGTAGTTGTGTTGCAAGGTGTCGTCGTCAGGGCCGTCCGAGGAAGTACCACTAACTCACAGAAGAGCGCCGTGAAGTGGGAGTGTTACGCTGCTATTCGTCTGGTGAGAAAGGTAAACGGGGCCCAATTTATTAAAAGGCTGCAACGATTCTGCAACCCCACGGGTGTTGCGAATGTCCATCGAGTGAACGGCCAGCACGGTTTCCACCTTCTAACATAAATAGAAGGATTGTGCGCGCTTCTGTGTTGCAGTTGGCATCGCATGTCTCATCGCGAGCATCGATTGTGAGTGATGGACGATTCGAGGCGGGGTTCCCGGTGGTATTGGCGGATCGCGTGCAGCTGTGCGTGCCCCCGGAGCCTTACAGCCGCTGATACAAGATAAATTCCAGCAAATCGAAACGGGACGTACGTTAATAGAAGCGTACCGAACGAACGACCATTTGACTTGCAAAGCTGTGTCCTCGTATTTACGCGAACACTGCAAATTGTTCAATAAAATGTTGTTGCGATGATAATTTCTTGTATTTATGCGTTTTACATTTACAAGTGAAACAAGTTTTTACGGATTCATCATAATACTTATAAATGATTAAATATTTTTTTTGAACATGTATTGCTTATTATGCTTTCATTATTATAATATGTGTTTATATAGAGGAAATATTCAATAAGATGTGATAATCTGGAAAAACTATTATAAAATATGTTGTTGTTTTCCCGAATAAATAAATGATTAAGTAATAAATAAATAAATAGATAAATAAATAAATAAACCAACAAATAAATAAATAAATGTTTCAATCATCGTTGGAACTTTGAAAATGCACGTTGGTTGAGAACACGAGTTTTTTTCATGGCAAGTCGTCGAAGGTGCGATCTTTGTCCGGTCGCGCTGTGACCCGGACGAGATACCGCTATCGGCGTAAATGCAGTTGAATTATAACAACACGCCTCGGGCCTTATCGATGGACGGACAAACAGCCAGACGGAGCCAGTATGCACGTAGGTTGACATAGAATTGGAAAACCGGACAATTGCGGGTATAACTCGCGCTCGAGTTCCGTGCAAACGTTAATGAAACATTTATTCAGCTATAATCAAAAGAACTTAAAAAGTACTATAATGAAAACTTACCAAGGCTAGGTTTTGTTCCTTTTATTGTACTCAGTAAATTTGCTTCTTGCAAAACTTCATGATTACCGTTTTCACCATCGATCCCTAACTTTAAGGGACACCTAAAAAATTTAAGTGCTGGTTTCGTTTTCACTAACGCTTAATGTCACGTTTAAGACTTTAAGTGCCTTAGCGAGGCTCCATTTGCGAAATATTATAGATCTTATTAAGGCGTTGCTCGCTGCTTGAGTATAATTTATATATTAACATATTTAAAACACATACCATAGCTTACGAGAAAAAGACATAGCAAATATAAAAAATATATGCACCAATATAAAAACAAAATCAATTAAATTGTAACGAGTTCATTTAAGTGAAATTTTTCATTGGGTATCTATCTTATGAGAAATTTATTTTTGACATGAAATGAAATGATTTCATATAATTATGTAGTTCGACTGAATCTCCATTCATTATTAGACATAATGTAAAAAAAATACAAAAAACATGAAACTGAATAGCTATGTACTAAGCAATTGCGAGTACAAGTACGAATTGCTGTTTTTCAGTAGATAAAATTTTAAATATGATAAAATAAAGCACAAAGTAACATACTTAAATTAACATTAACACGAATCAGCTTTATTCACTCTAGACAATATCTTAAATAAAAAATATATACGTTTATTACTAAACCCGCAGCAAACAGAAAAGTAAGAACATGATAAAGAGCACAACCAGCGCAAAACGCTAACCTGCCAAAGTAAAACAAAAAAAAGGATAACAAAAACTAAACGTAAAAAAGGAATTTATCACAAAATCAACATCGCTATACATTTAATATAAAACATTTTATTTTGTGAGAAGGTGTTTAACGAACTGGCGGTTCACCTAATGTTGAGTGATGACCGCCGCCCATCGACCTTTGCACCACTATGCTTCTTAAGGTTTACGTTTAATTTGTTAAAGTTTGTGAGATTTTTACGGAGGTAGTATATTATTTTGGGAGCGTAGCAAAGCTTCTACGAAAAGAGGATGAAACGTTCTGAAAAAGGAATGAAATAAGCAACTTCAAAAGAAACTCTATTTGGTTAATGCTAAAGTCCGACAGCGGCTTTTGCTATTGTATTATGTGCGTACGAGAGAGTACGAAGGGCGTAAAGGAGACCGGTGCAAAGTATGAAAATTTTTGCATAACGTCCAGTGAGTGAGGTGATCAATGCTATTTTGAAGTTTGACTCCGAAACTTTACCATCGATTTAGTGATTTCCCATGGGCGGGTTAACCCTTAACTTAATGAAATAAATCATCTGCTCATTTGAAAAGTCCTCCCATAAAATTGCGTCACGCAAGGGTTAAAAACTTATTTATTTATTAAAAAACAAGACAACCGATTATTACTACTGATTCGTAATTTAAAACTTCTATTTATAGGTGCTGTTTTCCGTCACTCGACTTGTGCTCTGATTCCGGAACTGGACGCATGTTATTACGATCTATTGACCCTTAAATAGAGTAAATAATTAATGTAAGTCGTAGTGCGCCATTAACGAATGTACTGACTCAAATTTCTGGTAATTGCTAATTAAATATTTATCTCATTATTCATTCTTTTTCTGCGTCTTGACGAGTTTATTTGTAGGACGACACGACTGGCTCAATTTCTAAGCTATCGCCTTGGCGCTGAGGTTTTTAGGTTCGATTCAAGTACACATGAGACAAGTATTTGTATGACAATGTTTATGTGAATATTGTGTATGTAAAAAGTCCTTACCACACTGGATAGTACCGATCGTAAGGACCACGTTTTTTTTTAATGTTTTTTTTTAATCATGATATGTACATGTACCCCATGTGTTCAATTTCCACTAGGGACAAGTATTTGTATTGCACAGATTATTAACTGTTACAAATCTGGGCGTTCTTTTCCAAGGAGCGTTGACGTCCGGCTGGCGACAAGGGCTTTTATTTATCTATTTTTTCCTTAGAAATCATACCCCCAGGCATTTATCCAAAATAGTAGGTACGTAATACATAGAGAATTACCCAGACAAAGGTTAACTGTTGGGATTCGTACTTACGGGTGACAAGAATATATAATCGCTTTTTTTTATATGAAAAGTTGCCAAGCGAGCAGACAGTTCACCAGATGATTTCACCTGCGAATACCGCCGCCCATGGACATCTGCGACACCCGAGTGTTGCAGATGCGTTGACAACCTTATGGAAATTGGGCTCCGGCCACCTCACTTACCAGAGGAAACGCGAAAGTATTATACTTCCACTTTCCGTCTTCTGTGAGGTCGTGGTACTTACCCGGACGAGCCTGCTCAATCGTGCAACAGCCGTGGATGCTGCGTGGCCCTACCACCGAAAAAATTGAACCGCTTGACCATTGATCTCTGTTACTCTGTTTCCTTAACACGATGTTCTTAGAATTAGACAAATAGTTATTTTGTACCAATTAAACATCGGGATAATGTTTTTCTTCTGCAGAATATGTTATCTAGCTTAGCAACTTATTCGCCAATTCATAATACAAAATTCTACACATACGCACATATTTACAATGTACTCAATTGAGGCAGCTTTCGGCTTAACTATTTTGTTATGACTGTTCTTTTGACGATAAGAATAACGATGCATGTGATTAATAGACTAATCATAAAGCTAAAACTAAACTGAATAGGAACGATCATGTATTATCTGTTTTAGATGTAAATTCATACATAAATTCAAGGGAATGTCTGCAACGTAAGTTATTTCAGGATACTAACAAATAAAAATTAAACACGGTCACTATGCGACGGGCATGTGCTGTACAAATAGCTCGTAATCTCGTCGCTATATAATATAAGGTGAAAGGGCAGAGTGAAAGGAAAATAACTTAATCGTATTGTTTAATAAATATAATTCAATATCATTCTTTCGTTTATAAATAATAAAAAATAGTTTATGTTAATCGACAAGTTATCTAACAATAATAAGAAAGTCTTGTAATCATTATTCGCGATTTTACAGAGTATCTACTTAGTAGTTACAAATTTATATCGTCCCTCGACCCCGTGACATTCGCACTGTTATCCGTCAGAGTGAGAAGACAACATAGGGAGAGCGGGCCATCCGACTCTTTGACGGCCAAAGAGTTTCCACTCACGCTCATCAGGTACTAGAGTGTCTATTGGCCTAAAGGCTGTCTCTTCATAGAGGCACGTTAGGCGGCGTCTTGCAAGGTGGTGGCGGCCGGCTTTCCTCGGGCAAACGCGATTGATAGTACGCGCAGTAAGGCAACGGGTCCCAGTACGTGAACAGAGCCTCACGAGTGTCCAGCATTGTATTCAGGAGCTTCCCCACGGTCGCGCTGTGGCCGCATCGAGGTTGACCCTGACATAAATACGGCAGCGATACACCAACCCTTGCCCCGATGGCAACCAGTCTATTTCCCTGACCATTAGCTACATTCTCCTCGCGTACCAGCCTGAAAGACACGTGCCCGGTCATCGGCCTGGAGGGTGACAGTCGTGATACGAATCTCTGCACCCACGCGTCGGCTTCCTCATCCTTCTGTGGGACCAATCCTCTCTTAGACGAGTCAATGCGGCAGGTCACATTATTGACCGCACGAGACTCCTTTAAAGTGGTACACGTTATAATCTTCTCCCCCTTGGGCTCTCTTACGATAACCCACGGTTTCTCGGAGCTAATTTCACGTGGAAGCCTGAAGTGGGTCTTTTCTTCTGGCATGACGAAACGCAGCCTATCCCTGGCGCCCCGGGCACCGCCGCTCGCAATGAAATGCCTGCCCTCCTTCGAGGCGCCGCTCTCGTACCAAGCTCGGACGTCGTCCTCGCTGGTCACGACCCAGAATTGAGGGGTAGATAGACCAGCAGCTCGGCTTACTCTAATCAACTCCAAAGGATCGTCCAGAACGACAACGTCGCGGGCGCTCGGTACGAAGCACTGACAACCTATGGTTTCTAGGTGCGGTTTAGCCAAGGCGTCGTAGTACGCAGGCGTCGTCGAGCTCACGGGTATGTAGAACACCACAGATTCCCTTTCGACGATTTCTTTGACGGTGCGCGCGTAAGCCAGCGGGTCCGCGGGGTTCGGCCGGGGCACCGTATAAAACCTGTTCACGGCCGCCGAATATTTCAACAGGGCGAACTGTCCCTCGATCTCGAAAGCGATGACCCTCGCCCCGGCCGAGTGGAAGTTCCTCGCCAGGTGCAGCGCCTGTATCGAGCTGCCGCCGCTGATGAGTACGGTGCGCGGCTTCCTCGGGTCCTTGGAGAGTGCGCGTCCGATCATTTTGAGAACGCCGATGGGGCACTGAATACACTTCCAGAAGATGAACAGCGACGCGGCGATCCACAGCGTGGGCAGGACAACCAGGATCTGCTTCCAGGCAGGGTGGGCGATAAGAGATATGAGAGCGAAGAGTGGGCGCAGGCACTGGCGTGGGAGCCAGGTGACGATTCGTATGAGTCTCGGCAGCTGGGCGGGTCGTTCAGGGGGCACGGCTCGCTCCTCCGGTATAAGGGAGAAGGTGGATGAGAAAGAGCGTCGGAGGGTGGTGAACGGCGGCGGCTGGTGGGCACATCGCTTGACGCGGGGGGCGAACACGAGCTCGGTATGTGACCGCGCGAGGCGGCCGTACTCTGGCGCGCATGCCGGCATTGCGGGCGACTGACGCGCGCGCTCCACAACGCGGCATATAAGCGCGCGCTTATCGCCAACACCGGAGTCATCTTTGCACCCAATTAACTAACGGCCCCCGTTCGGAAAGCAAACAGGGCGGGTAATCCGAATGTTAATCGAACGCTCCATTCAGTGATTGTTCTTATTTAATTTAAACTTCAGTCACGTTTAGAAAATAAATCAACATTTATAGCAATGTAGTGTGATCTGTTTATTTTATTGCCAAATGATTGCTTTTTTTCCATTTTACACTTAGTATCGATTCTTAGTAACTTTTTTTCTGAATAGTAAAATAAAATTGTTTTTTACGGAATAACAGATAGATTATTTAAACTGTTTCCTTGAAATACATCGACTCATCATGCAAATTGGTTTGGCAGTTTAAGAGCTTTCCTTCACCGCTGATCACGTAATAAGTTACCACATAAAATCAACATTTTCATTGTTGCCGAATTTGAACTGACGTTGGTAGAATATATTGAAAATTAAAAGGGAACGGCCGAACACTAAGCTGATAGGCACGGCTTTACCTTTAAAGCTGAGCGGATTACGATTTTTGGGACACCATGTTCCAATAAATATAGACCTCTTATGGAATGAATGTATCTATGTATGCATATATGTCCGATTGAAACCATAGGTAACCTTTTATGAATGAGATTTAAAATCAGACCTTATACTAATAATATGAATAGTAACAGGGTAAATGGAAAGAAGTTTTCCAGAGAACAACTTTAATACCAACATTAACGGTGCAATAACTACTACATCTGAACCATAAGTCACCAATACGAAATCTGGCAACTTTTAATAAACATTACACAACTTTAACCGCGCCTCGATAACCTCTCACTGCAATTTCAATGTTATTACCAATATTTAAAATTTAACCTTTATAATTATGTACCTTAAACATACAATTATGACAAAATAATAATTACATATATTAAAAAAAACACTACACTTCTAAACAATATTACAGTATTTAATATATTATCGCAGTTTACAATTGAATTTTTATTCTACAGATGTTTCACCATGCTTAATATATTCAGGGACAAATAGAGGCATAGCAACACCTAAAAATCATAGTGTGTTTATAGAAAATTATTGTTTAATACTACTAAGTTGTTAAATACAAACTATAGTTAAAAACTATCTACAATTATTGAGCTGGCAAACTACAATAAATAGAGAGGACTAGTAGTACTAACATGTGTATCAAAATATTAATCATTTAATTTTCATTTGGAATCTATGATACAACTTATCATATTGCAGATTGAAAAATAATAATAAACACGTTTAGCATTATACATAAATGTAAGGACCAATTTAGGGACACTATCCTATCTATGTATATTCAATTATTTTTTTATAACTTACAATATTACCTTGACACCAAATATTATTCAAATGTTGCAATAAAGTAAGCAGACACACAAACATGATTGAATTTTGAGGACTAAAACTTATGAATATACCTAACATTTGATTTTCGCTCTATTTAATTCACTAAATCACAAAAAAAGTAATTTTAATGGCTTATTTTGAATACTTTAATCAGCGAGAAACGTGGGCTTGGCAACCCTAATCTCAATTGACAATTAAAGGCGCGGTATTTAATACTTTATTACAATATACCTACAATCTACATACTTGAAAATAGATTTTTTCTCAAGTCTATTCTATCAGCTTGTCATTAAAAAATATTAAAGTATGTTGCTTAGTATGAAACTGTATACACCAACTGGTATACTAAAAAGTACATAAGAGTAGGCAATTGTTTTAAAACATCGAATTTTTGTAGTCACAAAGTTTTTTTGTAGTGTAAATAAATTGTTAAAGACCACATTTTATCATGATTTAAAAGTATTTGAAATAGCCAAAATAGTACAGAACCAAATTCAATAATTGATGTTTTCAATTATTAAATGCTTTGGAAGTTATAATAGGTCACAAATAAATTAATAATGAAATGTAGAAATGTATTTAAGATATTAAATTCATTCTTAAATAAATATTTACCTTAATAAATTAATTTTGTAAGAGTATACTACTAAGATTAGAGTACAGTAATAGTAATTTAAGAAGACAACGGTCTAGTCTCAGATCAAATCCTAAATAATTATCTTTTTTTATTGTTTGTTAAACTTACTCTCTTAGTTTAAGTTTAACAAATATAGCTACATATAGCTTTTTAATTTATAATTAACTATTTTGGCTTAGTGACAGTCATTAGTTACAAAAGTTGTTTACAATAATTATACATAATTAAATGATACAGTAATATTATTTCTTGGTGGCATTCTAATTAGACTTCATTAATGTTTCAGGGAAGCCAAATCAAACATAAACAGAAATAATACAAAGCTTTGTTAAAAAGAAAAATATCAAAAATAAATTGCATTGGATAAAATAAACTATATGTGATAAGCAAACAGTTTAAGTACAGCAATTTTTTTTAAGTTGGTATAAGTTACCTTTTCTTGTTTTTAAATTTTGTCATATTTGGACCATTGTGAATTTTGAAAATCAAAGAATAGTATAAGTTCAATTAATTCTACTGATATGCTGAACAATTTTATACAAGCTATGCAATATTAATGCAATATAATCAAAAATATGTTACTATTTATCATAAATGTAAAAGGAATAATTATTTGAAACAAAACTAACTATAAAAGTAGAACAGGAACTACAAATATCACCACCAAACTGCTAATTTCAAAAAATAAACATTATCCATACAAACTATGAAAATGTTAGCCAGCACTTTCTAAGGGGGAAGCTGTTTTTAAACTTACAGTTAGTTTGTAAGTTATGTTTTAAGTTAATTAATAGTAAATATTTGCACAAAAGTATACTTTTGTACACATATTTATATATATAATTTAAATCACAATAATTAAGAAAATAAATTACAAAACAAATGTTTTAACAGATCACTGAAGTTGTTCACACCTTGAATGTTGTTGACAACTATTTTGTAAATGAAAAAATAAATGCAAGCGTGCAAGTGTTATAAAGCATTCTCTTTGTGTTGCAATTCAATAAAATAGCCTTTTATCAAATAGCTGTATGAAATTTGCCTTCAATAATTTCAAATAATTTACACAATTAATAATATTTATTTAACATATGTGGACATCTGTTTATTTAAATAAATATTAATGGAATAAACAAAAAGTTGATGGACATAAAATATTTATAAACAATAGGCTATGATGAATATGACAATACAATAATATCGCATTAAACAATGAAAGGCATATTTGTTTCCTTCAAATCAATGGAACCATTCTTACAGACTATATGCAGCTCGTTCTGGGGCTCCTTTTCAAATCTGAATCGCTTTGGATGTGAGTCATCCATAAACCTTCCTAGTTTCATGATTTTATCATCAACAGTTATTTTTTCGGCTATTAAATTAGTTGCAGGTAAATTGTTTATGATGTCTGGTATAAGCAGTTCCACTTTGCCTTTTTCATGTATGAAAATACTGCTTTTGTCTGTCAATTGCGACACATGCATAAACACATCCCCGCTTTTTAATGATGCTTGCAAGTTCCCACAGAAGCCTGTAATATGCAGGTTGCCTTGTTTAATTACATCAATCATTACAGACCTATGCAAATGGTCAAGGTGTATATTTCCCATAAGTGTAGTGAAGTGTGACTTATCACTATAACAAGACTTGACAGTAATTGGACCAGCATGAGTTGTTACAATGAAAGAGTTAGCCATGATGTTGTGACACTTTATACCAGAGTTTAAGCCTGTTTTTAATTCAATATTTGAGGCCTGAAGCCTTCCAATAGTTTCCACTATACCTTCTTTACTTTCAACTTTAATATTGTCCGCCTTTAAATCAGCAACATTCACTGCCCCCTTTTCAGTCTTCACAACAAATTCGGCTCCTTCTAATTTTGCTAAGTGCACTGATGCAAAATCAGTAGTTGTAACTTGAACATTCAATTTATAAGGAACTTGTATGACGCATACATCATTCCTATCAGAAGATACATTTTTATTTAACAATTCTAATCGTTTTGAGGTCTGTTTCACTTGGAAATCACTCGCGTCTTTGCCTTCACTGTACAATGTCATAGTCAGTCTATTGTGAGCTTCAATATCGTTAACGTCAATAGGTTGCACCTTAACATGAATAGGGCTTTCAATAAAAATGCTGGTATTATTGTCTATTGTCTTCTGCACGGTCCTTACGACATTTAAATTCTTTATATCAGGTAAACTACAGTAATCAAACACGGTTAACCTCAAAATTTTGAGGCACTTATGTAAGACTCGCTGACCTGCTAATGAAAACATATTCTCCAATTATCACTTTTAATACTTATAATAACATAATTTTTGGATGATATTGATTATTTATTTATTTTTAATAGTTTAGGGCCCTTAAGTTGACATTCATAAGACATAGGTTACAAATAGTTTGACAGCAGCTGATTATTTGATTAATAACTTGGCGTCGATAAATTCTTTTTTCAAATTATAACGAGCTTGTATACAAAAGTCTTTTTGTATTTTACATTATATGAACATTTCTGCTAAAATCATTGAATACAATTTTTATATATTATTTGTAATTAAATCAACAAAGCATTTGCAATACATTTTTTTTACGTTAGGTGGCTAGCAAGTTGGCGGTTCACCTGATGTTAAATGATAACCGCCGCCTGGAAGGACATTTGCAACATCCGGCATGTAGATTGCAGATGCATTGCTACCTTTTAATAAAGTGGGACCCCGCTACCTCACTCACCAGACGAAACGCAGAAGTGTAATACTTCCACTTCATGCAGGTGTTCTGTGAGGTTGTGGTATTTCCCCGGATGGACCAGCTCATTCGTGCATAACCTGAATTGCAATCTTGAATTGATCAATGATAGATTACAATTCCAGTCGATGTTCGAGTCGAACAGAGGCGTTCAGAGGCTTAGGTTTGTGTCGTGCTCCCCCTTTTCATTGCATCGTCCATCTTTTGTTAAAAGGGGTCGCGGAGATGCATTTCTCCTGAGCTCCATATCTACAAGCGAATCCCTTCTGACGAAGCTGTTAGAGCCACTGGGCTAACTATTACTCACACAAGAAAATGTTTTCTACTTAAAACATCAATTTATATCTAAGGGTAATAGCATAGCGATGATTTATTTTATTACCCATGGCAATTTATAAACTATCAATACCGCATAATATTGGCAATATAGACTGAAAATTGTCGCAAACCCAAAATATACTTTTTGTAATGATGTTGCTGACCTAAACCATATTTTCAGCGATTAATCTTGGTGTCTGAACTAGAAAATATAAATACACAAGTATTTTATGATTTGCCAAAACTTCTGAGAAACCCAAAATATTATAAGTTTATATATAAATTCATTGTAAATACAATAGGTATCTTGGTACTTGTAAAATTAATTTTTAAGTATATGTAAGATAGGCCTAAAGGACCTGATTCCAGGGCCGTTAAAGTAATAAAAAAAAGCAATACCGCACAAAGTATCAAAATTAACAAATGACATTGACAAATGACAATTGATTTATATTTTATTTACTCCATTAAGCATAACATTAGAAAAGCGGCGCAAAAATAAAAAACCAGAAGATATTCTTAGGCTTTTTAGACCACTTGCTTCCTTATCATTATTGTGTCATTGGCGATATATGGACTGCCAACTACCTTAAAAGAAGAAGAAGCATAACAAATTGTTTTTTCAAATAAAAAGATACCGTACACGTTACAGAAGTGCATACAATTGTTTTAAAATAATATTACGTATTTTTCTCTTGCATAGCGCATTTTTTCTCTAGCTCTAGCTAGTTTAATATCAAAGGTTTCAGATTAAGTTTTGGCTACTAAATGTTTAACAGAAGATTTAAAGAAATGAATTCCGAATTAAAAGAGACGTTTATTCGCATGAAACCTATATGTGACATGGTAATGGTGTGCCCATCTCCAGAAAATGTTGTCAGATTTATAGCAATTGTATCAGAACTTAAGAAAGAGGATGTTCAGGAACTACAACAGTATTTTCTGTTTCCATTTATCACACATATAAGATCTGCCGAGATTAAGTATGTAAAAGTATTTAACATTATATTATTTAATCAATTTCATATTAAATTTATTTTAATAATTAATTTGTAACTTTTTTTGAAAAAGTAAGTATTTATTGAAAAAAGTATTATTTTAATTATTATTATTTAGTATAAACCTGTTTGCTTTTGAGCAAGAAAAGAACCAGCCCTCTTTATACAGTTGTAATAGATAGATGATTTAATGTTTATTATTTACAATATGACAATCAAAGTTATCTATTTATTTAATTAAACTTACAAATTATTTTAATCAATAGATCATAACCAAAACAATAATTACTAAGTAAATTTCTGCCAACATGTAGATTCTAAAGGAATCCACCATTATGCATACAAAATTCATTTATATCAATAATTTTTAGAGGGAACATGTTTTAGTTGGAAATTATAGTTTTGGTTATGTTTCCCTATCAATTAAAACAATTTGTAAATAATTACTGATTTAATTTAGCACTTTATACATAAGATTTGTCTACAATATTGAATGATTATTGTGATAACAATCCTTTTCTCTTTTAGAACTAAGTATGAACAGCAAAGAGTTATTATTGATGCAATGAGGGTTGTACTGGAAAAAATAACAGTGACCAGCTTTGAAATGTGCATGAAAATTGAGACAGGCCTCCTGACCACAATATTCGATAAAACTAAACCAGGCATGAGTAGGTGTTTTATTTTACTGTTTGTAATCTATTTGGATGTTTTTTATATCAGATTTTATGCAGCAATTATTTAAAAAGGAATTTTGTATGAAGTACTCAAGTATAAATTATCAATTTCCATAGCCAAAAATCTTCTAAGTCTTTATCAATATTTCTGTTCCCGTAACCATTTTTTTATTGTACATGATCTTTAATAAAATCTTATTTTACATACAACCTTTTGACTAACTTTATGCTTCAGCTAACTTTATCAACATTATCTTTCTTCTATGCCCTAACTTTGTTGTCTATCTCTGGGACTATGTAATAGTGCCCAACTGTGTAAAATTTATTATTCAATGCAGCTTTTCTTATCGTAATGATAAAATATTGAAAAATCAAAGTTGAAAATAGTATTGATTTCATGTTGGACCAAAATAAATATGTTTTAGTTGCCGACATACCAGAGGAGTTGAAACTAAGTATAATGAAATGCCTTACTGCCCTGATGTTGCATATTGATTCACCTATTAGGCTGAAGCTTTTGAACACCCAAGTTCCTTTATTAGCGCAGACTGTTTTTGTATCGGTACACATGGCAAAGCTTGAAAAATTCCGTGCATTGAGGTGAGTTTCATAATTGAAACTAAAAAACTTATAAAAAAGCAATGCAGAAATAATAACTGTGTAAACAATAAGTGCCTACTTTAATAAGTATATTGCTATATGGCCTCGCTCTCTAGCTTATGATTGCTATAAGGCCTCTATTTCTAGCCTATGAACAATTATTAAATAGACTTATATATGTTATACAGGCTGGCTGCTATCCACAATGTAACAGCACATACCATTACACACGAGCAACTTACAAATGATAAGTACCATTTAAAAGAAAGCAACCTCGAGCCATTGGTATTAGATATGCTGTCAGGAATTCTGCCTGGTGTTTTAGCAGCTTTACAGGATGTTGCTATGTGCAAAGAAAATCCAGGGCATGCAATTGTTGTGGTAAATCAGCAAAGTTCTTACATATAAATTTACTTTTCTTTATAAAATATGCAATTATATTTACTATCTTGACGATGCCAATGTGTGGGGTTAATACTGTTGATACTCACATAGGCTAAAAGACCATTGTACCTGTACTATTATATTGTAAACTGATTTTTTTAAAAAGAGCAACTGTTGAGGTTCTTGCCGGGTTCTTCTCAACAGAAACTGTTTTCCGAACCTTACAGTAACTTACGAACGTGTTAATATCTTTGTAAAATTTTGACGTTTCATAAGAACGCGTAGGCGTCTATGTGAATAAAGATTATTATTATTATCATTTTAGTATACCAAATTGGCTTGTCAATGTAACTCAACAATAGGTATCTGTACTTATTCAAATTCATCATTCTGTTTTAGTTCTATGGTCTATATTAATATAAACCATTTAGTTTTTTTTTTAAATAGAATATAAACATGACGACAGGTACAAATATAGCAATATTATATTGAGCATAAATATATAAATATAGAGCAGGCTTTTGGTTAATTTTGCTATTTTCTTTTTAGGCGGCATTAAATGCCACACACCGTGTGCTCTGCTTGACGATGCACGACAAACGCTTACAGAAAAAAACAGACCTGACTCCCCAGGACTTTGCGAACATGATTGCGGTTAAATGCAAGCCCGTAGACAATGATGTAAGCAGAAAGGGTAATTAATTTCCAAACATTTCTACGTATCTGTGTATGCATGCTCCTTGTACAGTGTTCTTCAAAGAATTTAGACTATGCTGCTATACAAAATTTCATGTTGTTAATTCATCTGTTGTGAGCAAATAATAATCAGTAATCCAAATTGACTGTGAGTAATTACGGTGCTTTGTATGTGCACATATGAACTATCATCAGTTGAAAGAAGTATTATTACAGCAATTTTTTTTAATTTTTTCTACATATAACATATGGAGATGTTTCCTCAGTATATCGTGTATCGTAAAATCAACATAATTATGCACCTTTGATAAAAAATGTACGATCCGTCAGTTCAACGCGGCAAGCCTGAGCTGAGCCTATATCATTTTTGTACCGTGTTCTATTTTAGTATTCACTAGCGACCCGCCCCAGCTTCGCACGGGTGCAATGTATTATATAATATATAAACCTTCCCCTTGAATCACTCTATCTAGTAAAAAAAACCGCATCAAGATCCGTTGCGTAGTTTTAAAGGTCTAAGCATACATACGGACAGACAGACAGCGTGACGACTTTGTTTTATACTATGTAGTGAAACTAATCAGTATGGCCCGATAGGCACTTGGTTCTAATACTGTTAATGCTTTAAGCAGCGAAGGACTTCGTGAGGCGGTCGCCTGAGTGGTACGCCATGGCCGGCGAGAAGCTGACCCTGGTGGTCCGCAGCCTGGTGCCCCTCCGCACCCACGAGCACTACAAGGTTCGACTCGAGCTCGCTGTCCTCTGCTCGCGGATACTGAACGAGTGCAACGCGTGAGTTGTATTGATTTCATTTTTATTTCATAGTGGTGGCAACGGATGGAACGGCACATTACGGTGGTAATGCTGGTGCTGGCACAACAAACCGCTGAGTCGGGCGAAAAACTTTTCGTTCATCTTTAATAATATTATTGTATAATAATAATAATATTATATATTAGTAACACTCCGCTATCTGTCTGTCTTGCCTAATTTTCACATATGATGTATTTCTATTGCTGCTATAACAACAAATACTAAAAAATAGAATAAAATAATTTAAGTTGAACTCCCATACAACAGACATGATTCTTTTTTGCAATTTTTATAGATAATTGTAAGGAACCCTTCGTGAGCGAATCCGACTCGCACTTGGCCGATTTTATTTACAAATTTTAAATTTCATCCTTAAGCGCGGAGAATAACACTATAACAATTAATGTCATTTAAACAGAATGCATTTTCATCACGCAATACCCTTCCAATTGTCGGGTATCGAACCCGCACTTGTCGGGGTAAGAGCTCACTAATCGCTGAGCCAATTTGGTCCCTACCACCGCAGGGCGCTGCAGCCGTCGATCCCGGTGGTGCTGGACGTGCTGATGTCATTGGCACGGGACCCCCAGCCGGAGGTGGCGGAGTTGTGCGGCCGCGCGGTGGACTCTTACCTGGCGGCGACGCCCCCCAGTGGCGCCAGGGACACCCTGGAATGCCTGCGTGACAACTTGCTGGCGACGCTGACCAACCTGCCCAGGATACTGAACAACATCGGTGCGTGTTAGGCACCCTGTGGCAGGCCCGGAGGGAAGTACGGACCCTGCTGGAGTGTTTCTTTTTTATGTGAATATGTGACGTCCGACGCCCGTGGACGATGTGTTGCCACCGTTCAATGAAGTGGGCCCCGGTTACCTCACTCACCAGACGAAGCACAGAAGTATAAGATGTTTAAAGATTTAGATTATAGGAAATATCTATATGGACATTTCATCGTACATATTTCTGTATTTTTGACGCACATTACGTTTCATTTTCGCAAATTTAATAAATTGTTAGCTATTTCCAAGAACTTTAGTGTACAATCTTATTTATATAAGTTAAAGCCACGTGTTCACGGCTTTAAGGCATTTGCTGATCGAAATCCATATTCATGTGTGGTGTACAGTTCCGCGCAGTATCCGGCGCACAAGTACAATATTTGTGCAGTTTTAATACGTGTATCGGCGCGTATCAAGTAATGCAGCGCATGTTCTGGCATCAAATGATATTGTCGATGCAAATATTAACGCAGCGTTTCCTAGAAGCGCTCGGTCCAAATATCCACCCGACGCTCCCTCGCCGTGTTCGGAGCAAACACCACGCGCCGTTTTGTCCATATTCCCTCGCATCTCTCGGTGCAAGCCCCGCTCGATCAATGTAAACGTAAAATCAAAAGTCAACTTATGGTTAAAGCATCGACGACGCCAATGTGTGGAGTTAATATTGTTGATACTCACCTATGCTAGAATAAGACTATCATACTGGTATGTTGTATTGTAAACTGATATTTTTGAAAAAGAGCAACTGTTCAGTTTCTTGCCGGTCTCTTCTCAACATAAGCTGCCTCCGGAACCGATGGTATCTTACGAACCTATATATTTACATAATTTTTTTATGTAACATTTGACGATTCATAGCAACGTCCAAGCGTCTATTTGAATAAAGATGTTTGATTGATTGATTGACGTGGCGTTTTGCCCGCGTTTGAACGCATCGCCCTGTGCAAACGTTCATTTGGCGTTCGCTGCGCAGACACGGGGCGCAAGCTCGCCGCGCTCAACCTGGTGCACGGCTACGTGCGCGCGCTGAGCGGCGGCGCGCGGCCGCAGCGGCTCACGGCCGCCGTGACGTCACGCGCCACGCTGCACGCCCTCTGCGCCGCGCTGCGCCACGCCGCCACGCACCGCACCCACCCCGCCCTGCTCGTGCCGCGCACGCAGATCGGTACGCGAGTCTCGACTCTATTTCGCAGCGGATAAAGTCCAATCGCGGGGAGAGCTTCGTATGTTGACTTATTGCTAGTCTCTTGCTCCCGCGTAAATGTAGCCGCCACGCACCGCACCCACCCCGCCCTGCTCGTGCCGCGCACGCAGATCGGTACGCGAGTCTCGACTCTATTTCGCAGCGGATAAAGTCCAATCGCGGGGAGAGCTTCGTATGTTGACTTATTGCTAGTCTCTTGCTCCCGCGTAAATGTAGCCGCCACGCACCGCACCCACCCCGCCCTGCTCGTGCCGCGCACGCAGATCGGTACGCGAGTCTCGACTCTATTTCGCAGCGGATAAAGTCCAATCGCGGGGAGAGCTTCGTATGTTGACTTATTGCTAGTCTCTTGCTCCCGCGTAAATGTAGCCGCCACGCACCGCACCCACCCCGCCCTGCTCGTGCCGCGCACGCAGATCGGTACGCGAGTCTCGACTCTATTTCGCAGCGGATAAAGTCCAATCGCGGGGAGAGCTTCGTATGTTGACTTATTGCTAGTCTCTTGCTCCCGCGTAAATGTAGCCGCCACGCACCGCACCCACCCCGCCCTGCTCGTGCCGCGCACGCAGATCGGTACGCGAGTCTCGACTCTATTTCGCAGCGGATAAAGTCCAATCGCGGGGAGAGCTTCGTATGTTGACTTATTGCTAGTCTCTTGCTCCCGCGTAAATGTAGCCGCCACGCACCGCACCCACCCCGCCCTGCTCGTGCCGCGCACGCAGATCGGTACGCGAGTCTCGACTCTATTTCGCAGCGGATAAAGTCCAATCGCGGGGAGAGCTTAGTATGTTGACTTATTGCTAGTCTCTTGCTCCCGCGTAAATGTAGCCGCCACGCACCGCACCCTCTACCCGCCCTGCTCGTGCCGCGCACGCAGATCGGTACGCGAGTCTCGACTCTATTTCGCAGCGGATAAAGTCCAATCGCGGGGAGATGTTGACTTATTGTATGTTGACTGCTATGCCGCGCTAGTCGGTACTCTGCTCCCGCGGATAAATGTTCGTATGTTGACCTAGTCTCTTGCTCCCGCGTAAATGTAGCCGCCACGCACCGCACCCACCCCGCCCTGCTCGTGCCGCGCACGCAGATCGGTACGCGAGTCTCGACTCTATTTCGCAGCGGATAAAGTCCAATCGCGGGGAGAGCTTCGTATGTTGACTTATTGCTAGTCTCTTGCTCCCGCGTAAATGTAGCCGCCACGCACCGCACCCACCCCGCCCTGCTCGTGCCGCGCACGCAGATCGGTACGCGAGTCTCGACTCTATTTCGCAGCGGATAAAGTCCAATCGCGGGGAGAGCTTCGTATGTTGACTTATTGCTAGTCTCTTGCTCCCGCGTAAATGTAGCCGCCACGCACCGCACCCCCCCCCGCCCTGCTCGTGCCGCGCACGCAGATCGGTACGCGAGTCTCGACTCTATTTCGCAGCGGATAAAGTCCAATCGCGGGGAGAGCTTCGTATGTTGACTTATTGCTAGTCTCTTGCTCCCGCGTAAATGTAGCCGCCACGCACCGCACCCACCCCGCCCTGCTCGTGCCGCGCACGCAGATCGGTACGCGAGTCTCGACTCTATTTCGCAGCGGATAAAGTCCAATCGCGGGGAGAGCTTCGTATGTTGACTTATTGCTAGTCTCTTGCTCCCGCGTAAATGTAGCGCCACGCACCGCACCCACCCCGCCCTGCTCGTGCCGCGCACGCAGATCGGTACGCGAGTCTCGACTCTATTTCGCAGCGGATAAAGTCCAATCGCGGGGAGAGCTTCGTATGTTGACTTATTGCTAGTCTCTTGCTCCCGCGTAAATGTAGCCGCCCGACGCACCGCACCCCCACCCCGCCCTGCTCGTGCCGCGCACGCAGATCGGTACGCGAGTCTCGACTCTATTTCGCAGCGGATAAAGTCCAATCGCGGGGAGAGCTTCGTATGTTGACTTATTGCTAGTCTCTTGCTCCCGCGTAAATGTAGCCGCCACGCACCGCACCCACCCCGCCCTGCTCGTGCCGCGCACGCAGATCGGTACGCGAGTCTCGACTCTATTTCGCAGCGGATAAAGTCCAATCGCGGGGAGAGCTTCGTATGTTGACTTATTGCTAGTCTCTTGCTCCCGCGTAAATGTAGCCGCCACGCACCGCACCCACCCCGCCCTGCTCGTGCCGCGCACGCAGATCGGTACGCGAGTCTCGACTCTATTTCGCAGCGGATAAAAGTCCAATCGCGGGGAGAGCTTCGTATGTTGACTTATTGCTAGTCTCTTGCTCCCGCGTAAATGTAGCCGCCACGCACCGCACCCACCCCGCCCTGCTCGTGCCGCGCACGCAGATCGGTACGCGAGTCTCGACTCTATTTCGCAGCGGATAAAGTCCAATCGCGGGGAGAGCTTCGTATGTTGACTTATTGCTAGTCTCTTGCTCCCGCGTAAATGTAGCCGCCACGCACCGCACCCCCCCGCCCTGCTCGTGCCGCGCACGCAGATCGGTACGCGAGTCTCGACTCTATTTCGCAGCGGATAAAGTCCAATCGCGGGGAGAGCTTCGTATGTTGACTTATTGCTAGTCTCTTGCTCCCGCGTAAATGTAGCCGCCACGCACCGCACCCACCCCATTCTATTTCGCAGCGGATAAAGTCCAATCGCGGGGAGAGCTTCGTATGTTGACTTATTGCTAGTCTCTTGCTCCCGCGTAAATGTAGCCGCCACGCACCGCACCCACCCCCCCGCCCTGCTCGTGCCGCGCACGCAGATCGGTACGCGAGTCTCGACTCTATTTCGCAGCGGCCAATCGCGGGGAGAGCTTAGTATGTTGACTTATTGCTAGTCCGCCACGCACCGCACCCACCCCGCCCTGCTCGTGCCGCGCACGCAGATCGGTACGCGAGTCTCGACTCTATTTCGCAGCGGATAAAGTCCAATCGCGGGGAGAGCTTAGTATGTTGACTTATTGCTAGTCTCTTGCTCCCGCGTAAATGTAGCCGCCACGCACCGCACCCACCCCGCCCTGCTCGTGCCGCGCACGCAGATCGGTACGCGAGTCTCGACTCTATTTCGCAGCGGATAAAGTCCAATCGCGGGGAGAGCTTCGTATGTTGACTTATTGCTAGTCTCTTGCTCCCGCGTAAATGTAGCCGCCACGCACCGCACCCACCCCGCCCTGCTAGTGCCGCGCACGCAGATCGGTACGCGAGTCTCGACTCTATTTCGCAGCGGATAAAGTCCAATCGCGGGGAGAGCTTAGTATGTTGACTTATTGCTAGTCTCTTGCTCCCGCGTAAATGTAGCCGCCACGCACCGCACCCACCCCGCCCTGCTCGTGCCGCGCACGCAGATCGGTACGCGAGTCTCGACTCTATTTCGCAGCGGATAAAGTCCAATCGCGGGGAGAGCTTAGTATGTTGACTTATTGCTAGTCTCTTGCTCCCGCGTAAATGTAGCCGCCACGCACCGCACCCACCCCGCCCTGCTCGTGCCGCGCACGCAGATCGGTACGCGAGTCTCGACTCTATTTCGCAGCGGAGAAAGTCCAATCGCGGGGAGAGCTTCGTATGTTGACTTATTGCTAGTCTCTTGCTCCCGCGTAAATGTAGCCGCCACGCACCGCACCCACCCCGCCCTGCTCGTGCCGCGCACGCAGATCGGTACGCGAGTCTCGACTCTATTTCGCAGCGGATAAAGTCCAATCGCGGGGAGAGCTTCGTATGTTGACTTATTGCTAGTCTCTTGCTCCCGCGTAAATGTAGCCGCCACGCACCGCACCCACCCCGCCCTGCTCGTGCCGCGCACGCAGATCGGTACGCGAGTCTCGACTCTATTTCGCAGCGGATAAAGTCCAGTCGCGGGGAGAGCTTTTTACGTTGATTTTTATTGTCCGTCTCTTGCTCCCGTTGCATCGCCGTCTCGCTCTCTTAAGGCGTTGTCATTGCGTACTGTGCGAGCGTTGACAGTTCAACTTACGAAATTCTTTCTACTCCGCGACTACATATAGAGCGACTATATATATAATGTTTTGCTTAACAATAATGGCTATGGACAATTTGTTTAAATGAACGATAGTGAAATAGACGGAAAAACATTAGTTTTCAAAATGACTTACTTAAATACGATGATTATGTATACTTCAATTATTACAACATGACCATTCGATGACTGTCGCAAGGGTCGACGAGTACTATTCCGATACGAGTGCCGTTCAAGAGTCGTATAATGATTTTCACTATTTAAACCAGCGATCCGCCCTGGTGCAATGCTGAATGTTTGTTTTCGACAATTCAATCACTCTATCTAAGAAAACCGCGTCAAAATCCGTTGCGTAGTTTAAAGGTCTAAGAATACATCGGGACAGGCGGCGGGGACAACTCAGTTTTATACTATTTATTGATTACTCAATCGGACGACCAGATTTGACCGCGCCCCCGCCGGACAAGTCCCCGTGGAGCCTCCTCGAGCACATGGACACCGAGGAGTGCGAGCTGAGGCTGCGCGAGATCTGCCGGCTGCTCGCCGCGGCGGAGTGCGCCGAGCTGCTGCTCGACCAGCTCCTGGAGCTGTTCCAGCAGCCGGACTGCGAGCTCGCGTACATCATCAACTGCTTCGGCTCCGGTCGGTGGCCAAGTCAGCAGCTCTCGAACGGGTCGTTTTACATGCAAGTGCGGTTCACGTGATGTTAAGTGATGATCGTTGCAGACGCGTTGCCAGCTTTTTATCGATTGGGCCCCGAAACCCTCGCCGGACGAAACGCACGTGTATGTCACTTCCACTTCGCGATGGTCTTCTGTGAGGTCGTGGTACTTAGCCGGACGGAGCTCTGCCCATCCGTGCAACATAGAAGAACTTGTACCACACTCAAGCTATTTTAGATATACCCAGACACTAGAAAAACACTATGTTCATCATAAAATATTTTCCCAATAACGGGAATCGAACCCTCACCCTCCGGTGCAAGAGACAGGTTCACTATCCACTACGCTAGTCGGGTCGACGAGCACAAGATAGAAGTTGCAGGTCTATTAACTATATAAATTCTTCATTGCAGCACCGAATTCACCCCCGAGCCTGGCCAAACGCATATTGGACACTTACTTAGAGGAGGAGCTTTGGTATCTGCCGCTGGAGGTGAATGATGAGGAGCCTCCCATCACTGAGGAAGAAACCCTGGACGTGGAAGTGTACAATCCAAGGAGTTGGATCAAGGACACCATACCGGGTGAGTTTTCGCCAGTGACATAATACAGTGCTAGATTACAATGTATGTTATATTACAATTATGTAAGTTTTAATGAATAGATTATACATTATTTGCATTTAAAAATTAATATGTGTGCAAGGTACACAGTTGTAAACAGGATGCCTTGCATTGCGTGTGTTGTCCTGGGCAGAGTGAGATAAGCGACCACAAGGTTGTTTGGTTGGAATTAAAAATCAAATATCTCAATTCAATACAGACTCTCACTTGTCAATTTTGAATTTAGCTACTTATAGATGTCGAACGATTTCTGGGATTTAATTGTAGAAACGTATACATTGTCCCATGAAAGGTTTACTTATTTTACGCAGCCTAATATTAAACAATTATCATATTTATCACAATTATTATGTAGTACTAGCTAACGCGGCAAACGTTGTTTTGCCATATAAATTAAAAAAAATGTTTGGGGTGGACCACCCTTAATTTTAGGGGGATGAAAAATAGATATTGTCCGATTCTCCACCCTGGTATGCACACAAAATTTCACGAAAATCGGTCGAGCCGTTTCGGAGGAGTTTAATTAAAAACACCGTGACACGAGAATTTTATATATTAGATTAACTATTAAGCAATGCAGAATTAATTTATGTTTGTTCCTAGTAATGCTATGCCTGAAAGTTCATCCCAATTTTTATGGGCACACAACATTTTCAAGTACGTAATGAATGGGAACTCGATATATGTTTAAATAAAATACTTTGTGATTCTTTGGGGCGCAATTTATAATCTCCTCGTATAGCTAATGTAAAGGTGTACGACGTAGGGCTGTACGAGGGGGCGACCGAGGTCCGCTACACGGGCGTGGCGTACGACCGGCCGAGGGGCGGGGCGGGGGCGGGGGCGGGGGCGGGGCGGGGCGCGAGCAGCTGCAGCAGCGCGGCGCAGGCGCAGCGCAACGTGGCGCTGTGCTGCCTCCTCACGGAGGGCGTGGGCGAGATGGCGGCGCGGCTGCAGGACCAGTTCCAGCCCTACCTGCTGCGCACGCTCTGCCTGCTGCTGGAGAGGGTCGGTGAGTCGGTCAAGGTCATCCCGGAGTGCATCCCGGTGGTCGACAATGAGCGAGTGAATACCGGTGGTCCGCGATTAGGGATGTCGCGAGTGAAGAAATACATCGATAATCGATATATGCTACAGACTTTGTACCGGATTCGAATTTGGAAAAATATCGTTTTTAATATGATTATGATATAATAAGAAAACCACATCAAGATCCGTTGCGTAGTTTTAATGATCCTAAGTATACATACATAGGGACAGACAGACAGCGGGACGACTGTTTTATAATATGTAGTGATATCGGATTCAAATATGTCGGCTAAAAATATCGAAATATAAAAATATCGATAATATTTCGACATCCCTATCCGCGACTGGTCTTAAGAGACAGTGAGTGCACCCTTGAGGTCCGAAACCAGTGTAAAGTGGTCTCCTCCGGCGGCTGATCCGCAGGCAGCCGCTACCAGCTGGTGCGCGGCGCGGGTCTGCGCGCGCTGGACGCTCTGGCGGCGGCGGGGGCGCACGCCTCCACGGCGCAGCTGCTCGCCGCCAACGCGGACTACATCACCAGCCAGGTCAACCGCCGCCTCAAGAAGGTGAGGGAAAGAAACAAAGAAAATACCTTTATTTACCAAATAAAGGACGCACACGACGTTAAAAGAACTAAATTTAACAAAAAAAATGAAAGAAATAAAAAATATATAGTTATAAATACTACAGTAAAACAAAACAACACAAATACATTTTGATGACTCCGTGGCGCAATTGCCAAGGTATTGGCTTCGGCGTCGGAGGTCGTGGGTTCGATTCCCACGCGGGACGACTGTTGGTGTGACCCATAAACAGTTGTTTCGCATCTGGGTGTTTGTCCAAGTAAAATTATTGTTTGTAAAATGTCCTTACAACACAGGATATTTTTATCCTAAAGTAAGGGCATTGCCCTTTTTTGAAAAAGAAAAAATGTAAATATTACAAGTAAACATGTATCAATTTCCCCACCAGGCATGGACCCTACAGTCCGGTCTCGAGATATTGTCCGTGGTGATGCAATACAGCGACGTGAGCATTTTGGACTACCTGTACGGGATAATGGACGACGTAAGTTGAGCTTCCAATGACAAACGGCCTCGAGGTCTTTTCGTAGTGTTGTGGCACGGGAACAGTAAGAACATATAGTGAGGGCGTCAACCGAGGGACTAAGCCTTGGTTGACGCCTCCCAGATAATGGGTAATTCGTTCCGTTCCCGCATCGGAAGGGATTTGTATTAGCTACAATTTTTTTTCTTTTTTTTTATGTGAGAAAGTGGCAAATGAGCTTGCGTTTCACCTGATGTTAAGTGATAATCGCCGCCCATGGATAGTGGTCGAAAGAAACACTACCAACGGTCCTTGACATTATGTAAGATACTTAACCGCAATCCTTAAATCGCCAGGTGCTGCTGAGCTGCGACAAGTACCACGAGCGGAACCCTCACGCCTACCTCGAGGTGTTCTCCGCCTTCACCAGATGCATCGGGAAGTGGTTCCGCGCAGACGAGCGCGAGGAGTCGGAGCCTGGCGGCGGCGAGGTGGACGTGGTCGGCGCCGTGGTGGAGTTCGCCAGGAGCAAAGAGGAGGCGGAGCGGCTGCTGGGCGGCGGGGAGTTGGAGGGGGAGGGCGGCAAGAGTGCGGAGGAGATGTACAGAGAGGATCAGAGGGAGAAGGAGGAGAGCGTGTTGGACTACGATGACACCGTCACAAGTCAGTTACTTGTTTAGTGTTGTTTATGACAAACTAGCGACTCGCCCCGGCTTCGCGCGGGAGCAATGTATACCTTCCACTTGAGTTACTCTATCTAATAAAAAACCGCATCAAGATCCGTTGCGTAGTTTTCAAGATCCAAACATACATACGGACAGACAGACTGCATGACGACTTTGTTTTATACCATGTAGTGAAGAAACTAATCAGTATGGCCCGATAGGCACTTTGTTCTAATACTGTTAAGGTAATAAAGGTGCCAAACTAGCAGGTTGTTCACCTGATGTTAAGTGATTACCGTCTCCTGTTGACATCTAAAATATATCGTCAAGTATTAGGAGTGCCAGTAATTTAAAAAATGGGCATAGCTACCCCACTCACCAGAAACACTTATAACATTTGAGTTTACGCCGGTCTTCTATGAGGCCGTGTTACTTACTTAAGACCTTGCTCACTCGAAGCCGCTGTGTTGTTCACAGTTAAATGTATATATTTTTCTGACTAATACTTTACTAGTGGTAAATGCGAAGTAGAAATTATTACGGCACGATTCGATCCTAACTGCTGGAAGAATATTGGGTCATTAGCATTGTGATGTAAACACTATATGTATTTATTTACAAAAGAAAAATTTTGAGACTAGATAATGTTAAAATATATATCTTGATAAATATTTATTTATTAATATAATAACCGGCGGCAGTTTAATAACACATTCTCGTGGCAGAGGAAACGCCCCCACCACCGCGCCACGTGCTCATGACGGAGGCGGTGCTGCGGCGCTGCGTGCATCTGGCGGGGGGCGTCGGCGGCTCGGGGGGCGTCGGCAGCCTGGGGGGCATCGGCAGCCTGGGGGGCTTCGGTTCGGGGGGCTTCGACGGGACGGGGGGCGTGTACGGGTCGAGGGGCGCGGAGGTGGAGCGCGTGTTGTTGGCCCTGAAAGTTCTGCGGCACGGGCTCGCCATTCTGGACGGATACGACGATCAGCTGTTGCCGCTGGTGCACTCGGCTTGGCCCGCCCTCTGCGCCGCACTTACCGCCCACCCGCTGCTGGCGAGGGCCGCGCTGGAGCTTCTAGTCGTCATGGCAACGCTAACACAAGACTTCATACGCCCCCGCGCGGAGAAGTGAGACCCATTTTCATTTTTTTTACCCGACTGTGCTCGTAGTGATAGTTTGGCAACGTAGCGTCACGTGGTTAGTAGCGCGTGAATTACTGAATTTTTAGTACTTGACGAGGCATGATATAAAAAATGCACAAAACCACTACCAATAATTTTGTTATAATACAACAGGCTATATAACAAAGAAGTATCAAGTATAGTAATTATATCCGATCGAAATTGGATTTGCAGCTGAAACCGAGACTTTATAGGCATGTCGTAATTTCTATTTTAAGCTGAAATACCGTTTATGTTTTACATAGTATAGTTATAGTTACTTTACATTGAATGAAATAATGAAAACTGAAAACATTTATTTACAACAAAAGCACCAAAATTAAAAAATTTCTTATAAATAGTTTCCATAAGTACAATCTGCTGATCCTTTTTATTTATTATAATAGGAAAAAGAATAAAAAAAAAATATTTATTTCTTCAAGGGATCGTAGCACTGACTTTGTTCAAACAAACATAACAGGAAGTTGCAAGGCTTCGGCGTCGGGGCTCGTGGGTTTGATTACCACACGGGACACCCAATTGTGTGCTCCACAGATGTTGTTTCGCATCTGGCTGTTTGTCGTGTTTGTAAAACGTCCTTACATCGTAGGATAATGTTATCCTAAAGTCCATAAAATGTCAGAGTCCCACTCTAAACTAGCGGGGCACCTTAGGGACGCGCTGCCGCTGGTGTACAAGTACCTGAGCGAGAGCCGGCCGAGCAGCGAGCTGAAGGGGCGCGGCTCGGCGTACCGGCTGAGCGGCGCCTTCGCGCTGCAGAGGGCCGCGCTGGGGTCGTTGCCCCCGGTGGCGCGCGCGCTGCGGCTCAGCGGCGCCGGCCTGGCGCGCGCCTGCCGCTGCGCCAAGGACTACCTCTCGCGCAGGCAGCCGCGCCCGCTGCAGGTGCGGCCGGAACCGTTAGAGGGCGACGGCTGACTGATAAATCGTTATAGAGTAATCGCTAACGAGTCCCTTTTCGGCGGGCCGGCGGGTGGCCTAGGCCGTTATAGGGCGACGGCTAACAGCTCGCGGGGCGGGAAACCTTCGAACTTGGCGGGCGCGGGTTCGAAGGTTTCCCGTGCTTTTTTCTTTAATTATTTTAATTCGCGTTATACATTTCCCTCGCTTTGTTGAAAAAATGTAAAATACTTGACTCTGGCTAAAAGCACGAATGGTGCCGAGCCATAACTAAGAATAAGAATAAGAACAGAGCTCGCAGTGTTGTCTTAAATCGTTATAGAGTAATCGCTAACAGAGACCGCCGTGGTGCCTTAGTTATAGAATAATTGCTACCGAGTTCCTATTTAGCACGTCTGAATTAAATAAACCTAATCGTTGCGGCTAAAAGCAAAATAACTTTCGATTACTTACATATTCGTTATTTTACTGTTTAAAAATTTCTTTACATTATCTTATTTTGTCAGCAAAAATCTCAACGCACCTACCAAGTACGAGTATCACCTAGAAATATATTAGCGTGACGGTTTAATGAAACCTCGTGTAAGTTTCTTCTATCTCTCATGCGTAATGACCCCAATTAGCTATGGTTATTATATGTTCACTAACAATTCATATACCAAGTGACTCGATTGGGTTTAGATTCATATTGTTCAGATGAGCTAACCTTTTTCTAAGGATTTGTTTTATGCTATATTCCATTGCACTATCATTACCCATACATAGACTATGAGTCGACTTACATATATTGACACTTATGCCGGGTTCTTATATTCAAAAAAATGAGTCGTTTTGTGAATATAGTCTTTACGAGTCTTTACATTATCTACGGATTGTTAGTTACTACCGTACCTATAACCTACGAGTCGTTATAAAAGTTACAAAATTATGTAAGTAACGGATGGGAGGACTCTGGAGTTAGTCTGTTCCCACTCGTCAATCTATTGTAATTTTACACGCGATGCCTACAAAACATAAACTAAAACAGATTTGTTCATTTTTAAAATTTTGAGGTAGAGTAATGTAATCTACATTAAGCGTTTAAAAACTATAAAATATTTCTACATTAGCAATGGAAGTATTTTAGTTATTATTTCGATAACCGTCAACCGGAAGTAAATTATTATTTGGTATCTTGGCAGGAGCTGGCGGTGGACTTCTTCAAAGATATCCTGGACAGCAACTACGCCGTCGGCTGGTGCTTTCTGAGGGACCTCTGTGCGAATGACGACGTCCTGGAGCCGCCCTTCGCCAACCTGGAACCCGTCGTCGGAACGCCCTACAGGGCTGTAGATGCGGACTATGACAAAAACATAAGACTAATATTCTCAATCGACTCTGAATAGATGAAATAAGTCAACTAAATGTATACCATATTTTCGTTCGTTACCAACATAACTATACAATTAAATACAAAAAAAATCATTATATGTAAAACGAAAAACAATAAATAGGAGTCTTAATAAGACTTAATCTTAAAACAAAATAAATTAACGCCGGTTGATATTAATTCAAAGATAAAACTTTAACAGATCTCTGAATGTATGGCTATTTAAGTTAGTAATAATTCTGACTAGTTAATAAGTTAGTTATACCTTGTTTATAAAGATCGTGGATTAAATCAGTATAAATCGAAGAAACTGTTTCTTTTTAAATTAAGTGATAAATATACTTATACACTTGCAAGGGCAAAGGCTTTAAAGTACTGAGGGTATACGGCATAGTCCACCACGCGGATTGACGGACTTCATTTTAGAAATATTTTTTTTTATTATTCCGAAAATTTGCAGGCTTTCTCACGATGATTCTTCTCCTTCACCGATGAGCACCATGATAAGTCGGCACTTATATAATTTAAACTCATTAAACGGCATTTAAACTCGAGTTGCTCGAGTATATTGAATTAAGAGTGAGCGCCCAGACAACTATTATGGCATGTAATAATTAGTATGCTCCAACTCTAAAACCGCCAAACACGTAGCTGTAATATATATTAGTTATAACTTCGAATAAAAAAAAATGGTATAATTGAAAATGTTTACCGTTTGCGTGATCACACACAACTGTTACAGTACGAAACTATAATAGATTGATTAAGACAAGCGATTAGCAAGACCAATAAATATGCTTTTATAACTACTACCACAGTGATATAAGATCAAAAATTTATCCGTTTGTACTAGCTTAATAGCTGTCTGTGATTGGCTCTATTGGGGATATGATGCAGCATAATCAAACTCATGTCATGGCTGTAGATAATTTTATATTTTATAAAAACAAATCTGTCACTGAAAACAAATATTATTATTATTTTACAGTGTTAAATTAACAACTATTGAAACCGCACCCCACATCGTCACTCAGTCTAACATTTATTGATCCATTGAGGCAACAGGGCACTGACACACACACATATAAGATAATATTCACTTAGTTAATATAATATAGACATTTCATACAGCAGTAGCACACGTCAATCTTGAAAAGCACGAGAGATATAAAAATCGTATGCTTAAAACGAGTAGATTTTAATAACGCCAAGTTAAAATACTTTTTTTTTATTGAATATAAAGTTATTGTTATCGTTCTGCCATACTCTAGCCATATTTTTCCGTGTACAGAGATTTAATGAATTCAATGAAGCCAAATAGAACAGTACATATTTGAACGAGTAATTAACTGAAAACTATCTGGTCCAGAGATTAATGGATGCAATAGGTTTTACATATAGTACTAACTATTAAATAAAAAGACATGGAGTTTAGCCTTGATAAGCACAATATAAAAACCGCCATCTCTGCCCTCTTCTATTGATGCAAACCTACTTACTAGGTTTAGTTACGAAAAAATTTACGAATGATGCAAATTTTTGACGTAAAAAATAACTATTCCCGTGCGCCAATATTATCTGTATAGATAGACATTAAAGTTTCAGCGCGATGTGAGGTTACAAATTTAAAATAATCAGGTTTCACAATAGTCATGATACCTATTTCCAGAACATCGAGATTTTCTTGTAAGGTTTTTCTGTATGCAGCATAAATATTTTAATAATTCTATGTCTACTCCATTGATAACTTTGTATCCTTTTCAATTATACTGAAGGCTTAAAAACAAAATAAACAAACCGACTCGAAATTGGGTATAAATAATGCATCTATATCATTCATGTGATACTGTAGTATTAAAAACTGACAAACTGAATAATGTTATGATTTTAAACATAAGTGAAAAGGCACGGCAAGACTAATGAAAGAAACATTGAAATTAAATAATGTAGAATTCTCAGACATTGAACAAAATTGTTTCAAATGAAACAAAAAATAACCATAATACTTTCATCTTAAATGCTAATAACAATATTCTGAAAGAGGAAAAAGACTATTTATATGTTATTAGATGTTTCATCTTCAAAAGTGATTTGGTGACATAATATTATAGGTATTAGGTGTTTATACAGAGAGACTTTTTTAAAGGTGCCCAAATTTACACAGGAGGTTGAGACTCGGTAGTATAATAAATTATTGAAATAAAAATAAACTTTTTATTTTTTCAAAAAAATTCTATTCCCCAAAAAAACAGAACTTGTTGACAACGCGGTAGTCATTCATAAATAGTTAAATTTTCCTGTTCACGCACACAAACGAACTTGTGTGCGTGTTAGTTATGAATGATCGCGCGTAAAATAAATGAGTTGCGTATAAATCACGCACCTTTTGAGATAAGTTCAAATGAATGTAATTATATACTTACGAGTGATTTAAAACATTATTTATGTCTAGAATTTAGTTAACAAAAATGGATACACTTAGAAAGGCCTCCCTGTATACTTTTGTAAGGGTGAAATTTAATGTGTTGTAACATAGGATAAAATAAACAATCATTTTCATAACAAAATTTCCATTTGTAAAAAAAGTTCTGCTCCAAGTATTCATTAACATCGGTATAATAGCACAAGTCAGTAATATTGCAATTAGTTCAACTTCATTATCTTCCATAAGTTCTATTTAAACATTACCTTTTATATAACACATATTGATTTTATAAGATTTGAACACAAGTCATTGGACATTCATAGCATAGTGTAAAATCGAATTTAAAACTGTAGTATGAAAGAACATTTGAACAATCATGTCTTAGAGCCCAACGATGAAATCTGGAATGGTCTTGTTCTGATATAAATACAAATACAAACCCCAATTAAATTAATTATACTAAATTGCACTAACTAATTGCCAACGCCAATGTGAAGTCTCAGCACTCATAGCAAGCTGACATTCGACATTTAAATAGATGGATTGAAACAGTAAATGTGTTATAAAAACAACATGCTGATAAATGGACAAAAATAAGGAAACATGCATTTTGTATATAGTAATGAACTTCTTCCAACAATAAAAAATATTTTACAGACTAAATGAATAGACATTTTTTTAATTAAATTAAAAATAAATATTCTATGGCTATTTGGGTAAAGCAGGGAGAATAATCAAAACCGATGGAAAGAAGAAGCAAGTTGAAGGGACATGCTTTATTTTTCTTTAATACGCCAAGAACAGTAGATATAAGGAAATTATTCAACGCTTCGGGTTTCAAACAGATTAGACATAGCAGAGGCAGAAGAGATTATACAATGAATTGTAATATATTTAACAAAAGAAAATGAAAAATAATTCTCTTTTGGATAAACTATTAACAGAATGCTGGTACTAATGACAGCCAATATCATGTCAAATAAAAAATTATTTGTGGAGACAATTGTGACGTATGTCAACTATCAGCCCGCTATGAACACGACGTTAGCCTCCGATTTTTAACATTTCTACGAACGCCCATTTATAAGCGCCGGAAACAATGACTGTCGTAATATGTTTACGTTGGAAATCAATTTACTTATATTTTTTCTTGTTCTCTTTTAGTATCCTATAATTATTGCAATGGTAACTATATCATATAACTTTTTTTTTAAATATAACCTTTTAAATTAGTGGATTCTAGATTCTGGAACCTTCGCTTCACTTGTCAATCGACAGTGCGTATGAAAAAAACTGACGTGGCTGTGATAATACAGATTAAAAATTCGAAATGCACGCCATATTTGAACGAGATATTTGTATTCACCTCCCCGAACGCTTAATCTATGCACGACCACAAACTATGTCTATAATAAATTATCTATAGTCCACACCGAGAGCCTTCGAACTGTATTGCTTAGACGCACTGGTTTAAGTTCCTATTAGAAGTGCTTATAAACGCCCATTTTCGTTACATTTGCGCCGTCACATGGCAATTTTATAGCCACTATTATACATCTGAAGAACGTCAAAGTCATTGGGAATGCAGTTATTCATACAGATGAACGTGCTACGTGCGTGTAGCGGAGGAAGAGTTTTGCGTTCTCTTTCACGCCGTAGTTCCAACATCTTCGTATCTTGCTCACACTTCGTGTTAACGTACAATTGCGAAGGGATTACTTGTTCGTCCACTGATTAATAAAAAAGCCAAGTTGGGCTTCTGCATTACATAGTGTAAGACACATACGGCAATGTGCCTCCTTTGAAATCAAAATATATATGAATGAACAAGATGAAAAATTTAATAAGTTGATAATAATTTGCTGCAATCGAATGTATAACGATATTATAGTTCAAGTTTTAATGACAAAATATAATTCTAATTTCTAAAAGATTGTTTTTCTTCATTATAAAACTGTTGTCTTACCATAAAAACGTATATACAAAAACATTTCTTTATACAATTGATATAGTGTTGTTATCATTTCCTAAATTTTGATTTCGATCAGGTGAAGACTTTTCTCGGCGGCAATACTCTATGCATTATATATTTTTTTCCACAACATTGTGTTGCGTAAATAGCTCCACAATTTAGACTATTAAATTCTTCTCAATTAAAAAAAAAACAATTGTACAAATTTGTGACGTGTGCACGAAACGTAATGACCTAATACCAATTCTCGTATAGGAGGCACAACGGGCGTTGTTCCTTGACGTCGCCGATCGAGTTTGATCTCTAACCCGATGCCATACAGTCGGAAAGGGCGCGGCGCGGCGCAGTCCGCCATCACTTCCACGCCATCTTGAGCATTTTGCGCGAGGCGAAGTGCTTGGTGCCGTAGGAGGCCACCACGAGGGCCACCAGCACGATGCTGATCAGGTGGTAGTCGAAATCGTCCTTCAGCAGGTCGAAGGTCTTGGACGGCGCGACGCGCGTGTAGAACAGGTCTAAGGGAGATTAGGCTCTGATTAAACGCTGCGACATTTTAAAGTAGCAATTCCTATGTTGCATGGAAGTTTTGCATTAATTTGTTTCATATTCATTTTTTTCCGTTAGAAGATGGCAAGCGACCTGGCGGTTCACCTGATGTTAAGGGATAACCGCCGCTGATTGGCATTTTCAACACCGGTAGGGTGGCAGATGCGCTGTCACCTGTGTGTCGCTGAGTGCCAGAGCGCAGGAGGTAGCAACCTTCCCCTCTGATAGTAAGATGACGAGCGCAGGTTTGCTGTGCTAATTGCAACGGCACCGAGCGTCATGCACCCGAGAAGAGGAGGATATTCCCAAGAGGGTCATAGTCGCGACGGGGTCACGGATCCGGTGGCGGGACGGGAGCGGAGGCCAGCCAGGGCCGGACTGGAGGGGCGGACTGACCGAGGCCGGTGGCGAGCACGAGGCTGGTGGACTCGATGCCGGCGGGGTGCGTGTGCAGCGCGCGCACCCGGTGCAGCGTGCGGTTGTAGTTGAGCACCGCGTCGGCGGGCAGCGGCAGCTCGGGCGCGTACGGCAGCAGCCCCTCCTCGCGCTGCTCCGCCGTGGGCGCCAGCGGCCGGCGGGGGTCGAGGAACGCCCACGGCACCTCCACCACCGCGCCCGTCGACAGCGCCACTGCAACCACAACGCGGCCCTCTGGTGGCGACGCCGCGAACTAGCGACCGTTGCTTGTGGTTTTTAACGCCACCACGCATTGGTGCAGCTGAACGTTTAGATTGATCCTTTCACGTGCCGGTCCCGGCGGCGGGGGTTGTGGGTTCCACTTCCACGCGGGACGACTATTTGTGTGACCCACAGATAATTGGTTCCGACCCGGGTGTTTTTCCGCGTGAAATTTATGTTTGTAAAAGGTCCTTACAACTCAGGACAATGTCATGCTACAGCAAGGGAAATATTTATAAAAGAAAATAATATCATTCCCATAGATCACCTCTGTAACAACCACTTTAGTTGCTCTGGCATTTCGAGACTGCAATCCAAAATCGCTCTTAAATATCTTCACACTGAGCAACCTTAATCACTTAAGGCGACCGAGTGGCGAGGACCTCGGACCACACACCTGTTCCGTTTCAAGTGACGTTTCGCGGCTGCAATCGAAACTGGCTCTTAAATCCATTGGCACAGAGTACACGCAAGCGACCACTGTAATTCGGCCTCAGATAGGGCGATTGCAAGGGAAAACCGACCTTAGGGCTATACGCACAGTGCACACGCAAAGGACCACTGTAATTCGGCCTCAGATTTGGGCTATTGCAAGGGAAAACCGCCCTTAGGACCATACGCACAGAGCACATGGCGGTCGGTGAGCGAGCGCTCGGTGACGGTGACGGCGGCGGCGGTGACGGCGGCCGGCACGATGTACGCCTGCCGCTCGACGGCGGGCGCGCGCTCCGACGCGAACGAGCTGAACGCCGCGCCGGCGGGCAGCCAGCGCTCCTTGCCCTCGTACAGCTCCATCGACGCTGCGGAAGGTATACCAGTGCCGCGTGTGAGAAGGGGAAGCGGCAATGGAACGCGCGAGCGGAGGTTTAGTCGCTCATGTAATAGACTATATATCCATCAGTATTCGGCTGCTTTTTAGCAGGTCTCGGTTCGTTTGTGCTTACTTTGTCTGTTTCCTCAGAATTCCGTTATTTATGAATCGGTTTAAAAAAATTGAGTTCGGTATAGTCCTCATGTGGTCTCATATTTGGACCTTAAACACAGAAGGCTACAGCCGCGGGGTCGCGGCATCTCGCGTCTCCCGCGTCCCAAGCCAGCGCGAAAGAGACAGTAACGTGGAGCGTGGGGTTACGATCCCTCAGAGAGCCACAGTCCCGTTCCGGGGCGACAGAGACGGACATAGAGTGGGGCGTGCGGCTACCGATCTCGAAGCGGCGGTGCTTCTCGCTGCGGTAGAGGTAGGCGAGGCAGTGGTCGGCGTGCACCGCCTGGTGGTGGGGCGCGGCGCGCGCGCGCCGGTGCGAGCCCGCCGCCGCCACCGCGCCCGACGCCACGTCCACCGCCACGGCGCGCACCACCTCTGTGGGGGCGACGAGAGGCTACGTTACTGTCGGTGCCTTTGGGCTGAATGATCAGTGAATTTTGGCTTCATGGTTTCGCAACTGTTGACATTTGTGATTCTAAGTTATTTCATTAAAGCGTCACCAATTGCATTTAACGTCTTTAATTCGCAAACAAACAGTACTGGCCCATGAGATGAAATTTTTAGTTAGTTTTCTTGTTTTACGCACGTACGGCTTTTTTTTGTGTACAGAAAGCTATAGCTGCAGCTTTATCAACGTTAATACTGCAAGTACGACTTGTGTACATTGGAATAATGTAGAAGCACTTAAGCGATTGTGCCACTTGTGTCCTGCTAGCGTGTTCGCGCTTTGACGTGGGAGCCTCCAAGAGGGCGGGTCGGCGAGGGCGTACCTTTGTGCACGGGATCGGGCCCCTCGGTGAGGAAGAGCACCAGGTTGGGGTTGTTGTACTTGTAGAGGACGCTGCGGTCGGCGAGCGCGCGGCCCGGCGAGTGGGTGCGCTCGAGGCGGGCGCGCGCCGCCGCGTGCACGATGCGGTGGCCCGGCGAGCCAGGGCCCGCCCCGCCCAGGCGCAGCGACCAGATCGCCTGCGCGCGCGCCTCCTGCAACGCTCCGCGCTGGGGACTGTGCTACGCCGTAGCACACTTCGTGCGGCTTTTACGGTGCGCGGACGTCGGATGCGGGGATGCGAAAAACCCTATAGTTCTTATGCGCTATATATTAGTCATTTATTCTGCGCGGACGCCGAATGCGCCCCACGAGAGGGCGAAAACCGGAACACAGTGAAAATCATCTCGATACAGAATTTTACGAGCATTATACCGGTCATATATTCGGCACGGATACCGGCTTCGCCTGGCAGACGGACGAAAACAGAAACAGAGACAAGATGAATTTCGCTGAAGGCTTTACGCACAGTCAAACTTTTACTGTAGTGAAGACACGTAGCACCTTCTATTGCACGAACGGGCAGGCTCCCATTTTAATAATTATTTCTCTAACTTTTTTTAGCTATCGATAGTTATAATGGCCGATACAGATATAGACCCCCTTAAACTTTTAAACTCTGTGCAGAACGTTCGAACAACTTATTACTCTGTACGAACAAAATAAAGTTTTATAATATAATTTACACAGATTCCCTGTTTTTAGAAAATGTGAAAGAATGAATTATCAATATTTCCATCAGACAATGTATGGCATTAGAACGTTCTGTAGCACCCACCTTGCCGTCGTAGCGCAGCGCGTAGCCTCGAACATACGCAGTTTCCGGCTCTGCTACGTACATATACATGTCCTCCACTAGAGGCGCCGACGACACCGGGAACACCTGCAATAAGAGTAGCTTAAGTATATCTTATTCTTTCTCTTAATGTTAGGGTTCTTATTTGCTTAAAGAAAATTCCACTGCAAATCTGCTCGCTTAGCATTTATTTAATATTCCGCTGTGAGGCCTTTCCCTAGCTGGGCAAAGGCCTCAGGGCCCTATAAATAAGTATAGGTCACTAATTTTACTTCATTTTACACATTCCAATGGAACAGTCTCAGAATAAACTTCTTCCAATTCTTTAAGTACACAAAAACTTCGTTTTGTATACATTCTATTTAATATATGGTACGCATCTTGATATACATACATTACATACAAAAAATATGTAAATAATATTCAGTAAATACCGTCGTACTTTTTCCGTAAACGAGGCAACAAACAGATATCGCTTCTTCTTAGTAAAGTTGAAAATACGTGTACCCGAAATATTTGTGACATTCACTGCTGAATATAACATACGCAAAGTTTGTATGAAGTTATCATAAAATGACATCATTATTACAAAGTTGGATTTCATCCATTCGGCTAATCAATAAGCGATTAAAACGCGAATTTATAGCCGTTAGCTAATAAATGAACGAAAACTTTCTACGCTGCGGGATTCGAACCTTCTAAACCGAGACGGTTCTAAGTTCTAAGTTCTAAGTTGAGTTCTAAGTTGACGGTGAACTAAGTTAATCGGCCGGTGACCTCACGGCGCGACAATCTCAACGTCTCTCCGCGTTCTACACTGCATTTTTAGCAATGCGCCATCTAGTTTGCACTTCACCAAGCATCTTACAAAGAACATTTGTAACACGTTGATCGTTTCTTTCTTTGTTTTTTTTTATTGTTTTCTTTTTTCTGGATAAAAGCACTGCCCTTGCTTTAGGATAATATTATCCTGCGTTGTAAGGATATCTAACAAACATAAATTTCAAGCGGACAAACGCCCAGATGCGAAACAACTGTCTGTGGGGCAAACAAATAGTTGCCCTGTGTGGGAATCGAACCCACGACCCTCGAAACCTTTGCAACTGCGCCACGGAGTTAAATATCCCTTAGTGAATGTCGTTGCGCGGTCGTGCCTGTATCGTCTCGTCCTCGTAGAGCACGACGAGCCCGTGCAGCTTCTCCTCGTCGGCGCGGTGCAGCATCGCGCACTGCAGCAGCCTGCCGTCCAGCTGCAGCGAGCGCTCGCCCACCAGCTCGCCGCTTATCGGGTTCAGGCTGATTATCAGCCCGTTGCCCGTCTCCTGGAAGTGCATTATTTTTTACACAACGTTCTCTAGTCCCAAACTAAGCAACGCTTGCACTATGGGTACTAGAAAACTGATAGACATACTTAAATATACTTTTCTTTTGTAGATAAATACACAGTAAGTGGAGGAGCGAGCTTTGCTCGGTTTTTTTTTTTTTGTAAATCGTGTATTTTGGAAATTACATTTAGATACAAATTACTGAGTAATGGAAATATGCATAATATTTTTCGATCTTACCGACCTAATAATAAGAAAATATGAAGTGGTGTTTTTCACAAAAGACACAACTTTAAAAAAAGGGAAAAAAATAACAAAATCCTCTGGATCAACAAAAAATAAAGAAAGCAATGGTCTGGAATAGAAAAAAAATTTAAAAATTAGTGCACATACTAAAATTCACGATTGATCATTTAAAGGATAAGATTATTATACATAGTATATAAACACCCAGACACTAGAAAAACACTAAGCTCAATATTTTTCCAGTAGTGGGGGTCGAACCCACACCCTCTGGCGCAGAAGGCAGGTACACTACCCGCTACACCATTCGGGTCGTCAGTGTTACCGACTGTTCAAAATAGTCCTAAGCTAACCCACTAAAATCCGCTAAAATTCAAACCGTAACTTCCTAAATGAGAAACAGTTAACTTAAAAAACTTTCATTTTAAATTTTTTTTCTTTCTAAATTCAGAAAGTAAACTCCTAAATTGGCATCCGTGGATATTATGAGTCGTATTGCGATTCGTGCGGCATTCTAGATTTCAACTGTCTGATTGAAACTATTTCTAAGAATTTATCGCGTTTATTCCATATTTTATTCCCGACGTTTCGAACCCTTTGCAGCGTTCACGATCACGGGACAGATTAACGCCTCAGGACATCTGAATGTCATAGATAACTAGGGCTACAGTCAGTTTTTCAAATTATATATTTTGTGCCTGATCCATGCAGAGAGTGCTAACTGTGTGTTGTCTTGCAGTAGTGGCTCCTTTTGGCCTAGATTATGTATGATCAATTATGTGACCAGTCCAATGTTGAATTCATTTTAAACCTCGATACGCATGCGCACAAGTATAACGTAGACGTGATTCGTGTGATCATGTGTACGTGATACGTGCGTGCGTGTAAAGTGATACGTGCGTGCGTGTGTATACGTATGTGAGTACGTGTCACACCTCGTGCGTGCCCACGATGGTGAGGTAGGCGTCCAGCGGCGGGTGCCGCGCCGTGCGGCGGGTGAAGACCGCCAGCGAGGCCGTGGACAGCGAAGGCTCGTAGCGACGCCACAACACCTCACCCGATAGGTTGTCCATGCCGATGATCTGCGAAGGGACATTTGTTTTATATGAGAAGATGGCAAGCTGGCGGTTCACCCGATGCTAAATGATAACCACCGCCCAACAACATTTGCAACACCCTTAAGGTTGCAGATGTGTTGCGTTGCTGATGTGACCTTTTAATAAAGTGGGCCCGGCTATATCACCCACAAGACGAAACGCAGAAGTATAACACTTCCATTTACGTTCCACGCCGGTCTTCTGTGAGGTCGTGGTACTTCCCCGGACGTACCTACCCATTCGTGCAACAGATGCGTACGTGCATCTTATTCGTGAATGTGGCAAGCGATCGGGTGACTCATATTACTAGATTGCAGATGCGTGGCCAATCTTCGAAACAAATGGAACCCGGTTACCTCACTTACCAGAAAAGGTGCGATAATTACCATCTTAAACTAGACGTCCATTATAGTAAACTAGACATCCAGTCTATCAAACGAGACGTCCAGTCTAGCAAACAATACTTCCAGTCTAGCAAACTAGACATCCAGTCTATCAAACGAGACGTCCAGTCTAGCAAACAATACTTCCAGTCTAGCAAACTTGACATCCAGTCTATCGAACAAGACGTCCAGTCGATCATTAAACTCAATCTGCAAGCTTTAATGGCCCACCTTGCCGACTTCAGTCACCAGCACGATGACCTTGTGCAGGTTGAAATAGTCTCGCACCAGGTCATTGGTATTCGAGCTGGCGACCGCGCGGTCTGCGTGCTGCAGGCCGTGCAGCAGCGTCTGCAGCTGCTGGAACTGGCTCTGCAGCCGCCTGGTGAACGCGGCCCAGATGGAACCTGGCGACGGGATGCGGCCGCTTGGACTCGTTGACAATACGGTGGTGATAAAACATCGAGACGGAGGAGGGTACAACTGGTGCTGCCCGCGTCGTGCGCAGTTAACATAAATCTTGTCACCCCACATGTGCAACTTAAAAAAATCTTGCTCATTTTCGTACCCCCGACCTTAGACCTTACTAGACCATCGCTGAGCACGATTGACGCGTAGCAGTACTCATTTTCTCGAGGCAATAATTCAACAGACGACATCGGTGTTAAACTATTTGTTAGTAAAGTAGTGTCAACAATAAAAATGCGATCGCGAAACTACAAAGCGAAAACACAAAAAATGTTTACAAAAAGGCGGATTAATGCGGCCACACATTATTGTAATTTTTTTTAGAAAGGCAAAGGTTCCTGCAGTTAGCGCAATATCACACACCCTCAAACATAAACAAAGTCGACCCCTCCTAGCGTACCAGAATCAATTCTTAAAAGGGCCTATGCTGGTGGTCAAAATTAGAGTGAACTGGTATGCTAGAGAAAAAATACTTGATATGTCAAAGTCCCCATTTAACAAATATTTAACAAAAGCTTCAAAAGTATGACACTTGAAGTCATCTGTTTGTGAGGAAAGCAAAAGAGAATAAAACATAAGCAATCAGTGAAAACCTGGTTCTCTATAGATATTTCTGTAACCGCAACACACTTAGTCTACAAGGTACTTACTGTACATCTTGGCAGCTAGAAAACAATAAATATTGTAACATCAATAAATAAAAAAGAAAAAAAAAACAAGACAGTTCTGTCAAAGCTTCAATTGATAATAAGTTTAAACTTATTATAAACCATCAATAGAAAGTTATCATAGTCTTTTATACCTTCTTTCTGGTCGAACTCTGACTCGATAGCTGCATCAGTTTCGGAAACCGGTAGGTCTACAAATTCCACAGCCACAACATTGGCAAGAGATTCTTCACGGGTCCAGAGCACTCGACCTGTAAAGTGATTGCATTTTACGTTGAGCCATTAACATTTAATTTCTTGAGGAAAGACAAAGAATGCAGACTTAGGGGCAGTGGCAGATTTTTATAAAAAATACTTCTGCGTATTCTAATGCACATATCCTCTAAATGTAAAAATAATTGGTAAAGAACTTTTAAGAGATTTTTTTTTAATATTAAACAAACAATTATTCTTAATAATACATTAGTCGAAATTTTGACATAAACATGAACAGAGAAATAAGTAGAGTTTTGACAGGCCTAAACCATGTTATTGTTCATAATTTCTGCCTGCTTTCTAGGCATCTCCAGTGTGTTTAGGCAAAATGCACTTTGATAAGGCACACAACACTTTATGCCAATTCATTAATTTATGCCTGTAGGTGATGAGATAGTCATTAGTTATACTTTTTCCAGATTGACATACAAACACAACAGATAAAATTTAAGTTTAATACCTGCTTGTTGTACAAAATGAATAGCATCATCAGCGCCATTAATAAGAATCCTACAGGCATGCTGTTCTCTGGCCGTCTTTGTACACATGACTGCAGCTAGTTCAGGATCGGGTATTCGATGATCACGGTCAGAGCACTTGATCTCAGGCACTTCCTTGCCAGTACTCACACTATGGGCTATTAGGGAGAAACCCTGGAACAGTAAATTAAGGAATGACACGTGTTTAGGGGATAAATATAAAGGTTAGATTAAAGTCTCAAAATTCAAATTCAAAAAATTTTAAAGACAATTTCAAAGCACCGATGACATACCATTGTTTTATCATCCCAAGCTTGCAACAATATCTGTTCACTTGGTCCTTCAATTATGGTCGCACTCACTGATGCACCCACAATGTCAATGTTAAGCTGTTCAAAATCATTATTCTTGATCAGCAAAACTTTTTTCTCATCAATGATGAATCCTGGTAAAGCACTGTTTGCGTCCAATGGCCTCATATTTCCATCAAACACATCTAAGCTTATGTAGTCGAACAACGGTTTGTTAATTATCTGTACTGCATTTGATGTCACATCAACCGTCAATAAACGTTGCTCACCCATGTTGCCAGATACACAAGTGTAATATGGTGGAGTTAATACACAACTGAAATTTGAAGTAAATGTTGTTGAGTTAAGTGAATCCTTTCAACAGGGTTTGAATTTGTTACAAAACGGGATATCAGTATGTATGTAGCCTTACAGATTTAATCAACAGTGTAATAAAACCTGAAATGTTTTCAAAGTGGGTAACCTTTCATCATCAACATCATCATCAGCCAGAAGACGTCCACTGTGGCGCAAAGCCCTCCTGCTTAGAACTCCAACCTTTAATAACCATAATCTTACAATCTGATTTTTTTCTTATATTATTTTGTAGTATAATAGTAGTCAGCCAATTGGCAAGAAACAGCCCAGAATAGAGAGCAGTGGCGTCTTTTCGTGTCGGAGGCCAAGATCCTCTTTGGGTCGCTGAGCCAGCCAAGTAAATAAGTAAGTGTTATAATAGTAGTAGAATTGTGGAAATAACAAAATTTTAACATTATTTTGTACATAATATAATTACTCTTCCGGAGATAATCAAATTATTAAATATTATGCCTACCCTTCATTAACCCACGGAGCAGGTAGCTTCGATGTTGCACCTCTATTTTGGCCAGACATCAAGTTATACATGGTCACCTCTATGTGCGAGTTGAATATTGGTAACATGTGGACCAGCAAACCATGTTGCACCCACCACTCAGAAAATTCAGCATGGTCATTGTCTTGGAGTGTCAGTGACCACTCCCAAATAAGAACACCTGAAAATACTCTCTACTCATTATTCAAATACTCAACAAAGCTTATTTTTTCTTCAAATGATAAATGATCATATTTCGAATTGTTTATAACTTCTGTTTTATTTTTATTTTTATACAATAAAACTTCTTTTTTTCTTCTCTTAAACTCTTTCTAAAATTATAATTGAATATGTCATCAGATTCCACATTAAAAAAAGCTTTATCTAATAAAACCACAATGTCTTGTGTGCGTAAAATATTAACCATATACAAAATACTGATCCATAACATTTATTTATTTAAACAGACTTACCAAAAATGTAAATACATATAAAAAAAAATATTTTTCTGTTACTTTATATATGCATTTAAATTAAAGGTAAATGCATATATACATATATATGAGAAAATTTAATTTTACTGCACCTGTACTTGAATCCCATCCTCTCACAAGGTATGGGTTAGATCCTGTCACAGTGACTACCTTATCACTGACATGCAACAGTTGTATATTTCCACTGGAGGCGCTTTCAAATACATGTCGCCAAACTATTTGGCCTAGAACAGACATTTACAAATCAATTAACGATTCAAAAATGTTTTGAGAAACTTATTCAAATAACATATTTTATTAGCAAACGGTATTATTTACTTATAAAACGTTCTATATCAGTACAGAAAAGCAATTCTCTTAATATGTTTACGTTTAGCGGGCGCAATCAATTAAATTAACTTACCAGTTTTTAAATGCAGTGCAGCTAGAACATTCTCTTCAGTAGCTACTATAAGTTTCTTAGCAGTAGAAACTGTATCGAACTGAGAAAATTTTATTCGTCCAACGTAAGTTTGACGCCTGAAAACGTATTAAATTAGTAATACATTTAAAACTGTTAAGTCTATGAGTGTTATAACCTATAATAAATATTTACCAATCGAATTTTCCTATCTGATCTTCATATATACACATTGAGAGATTAATCAAGCTAAAAAATATAATAAACCAATTCATACTGTTTAAAAATTTTAATAAACCCAAAAAATTGGGTTTCAAATAACCTGACAGCAACCCCATTTCTGACTGAATGACTGAAAAGTTTTTATTCACAGATAAAATTCAATTATACGTTCAAAAACGTACCGATTTAAGTTGGAAATGTAGGTTATGACACAGGTTATTAAAAATATTTTTAACAGTAACAATAAAAGACAGAAAGATGTTTTAATCTTTTATTATAAAATTTAAATGCATATAAATAAGGCCAAAATAACAACGTGAGAAAACTTTGCTTACCTTTCAATGATCGGTCCTATTAACTATACAGATAAAATACACCAAGAGGCTCTTTTTTTCATAAAGACGTTCTTCTTATCGTCTTCAGTTAAGAGTTACGTTACAATTTAATAGCTTTGTCACTTTATAATCTCACATTATTTATATTACATTAGTACTTAAAGTACTCTCTATAAGTACAAATGTAATATAAATAATGTGACATTATATTATAAGTTGTAAGACGTACTTTTGAGTTATAATTACAAACATGATATTGCTTGTAGTTTTTCAATGTCCATTTTGGCCACAATCTACATTTTTAATGATTCAAAGGTTAGAAAAAAACCACGCATGGCGTCAGCCACTAGAACACATGTAATCAAAGAGAATGTAATCACTACGTTTACGTTGCATGTAATTTACTTTATATACTTTTTAATTTTTATTAAGTCTTTATCCATAGGATATTGTTCAATGGACATTCCAATGGATGTTCCAAATTTCCAGGGGCGGCGGTTATCCCAGGTGATCGCCGCGCTGGCTCACTTGCCACCGTCTCACATAAAAAAATATATCTGATTACAAGCGACGTAGGGCTCAGATAGTCATAAATCATACAACCTAAAACAGGCCACAATGATATCTCATCTTAGGCTGATTATTTTTCATCAACGTTGTGAGCAATGTCTCCTATATAATTAATTTAATTAGCCTAAAAGATTTCAAAAGTACAATACAAGAGATAATCAGATAATAGTGTATTCAAAGAAGTACGACCATTAATTATCTGCTATGTCTATATCAGCAAATATACGAATGGTACGATTTTCTAAAAGATTTGAGAAGTATTAAGTTGTTAGCTGTCATATAATATTGAACAAATTGCATAACCTTACTAGGAATATTGCACCGGTGGAGATGCATTACATAAAGTTTGTAATGGTTTAGAAAAAGTAGTATGAACACATTACATTTTTTCAACAGATATTGTTATTTAACTCATAAAAGCGGTTTTCTAATCATGTTATGCAAGAAATCGGCAATTAAACTGAACGTCTGAATAAACTGTTCAACAACTATTTAAATCTTATTGTGGTTAACAATCGTAGTAAGTAAATGATACATCAGACATTAATCCTTTTTGCGTAATATTATGGAATCTGCAGAATGTTTCTGCGGCCAACCTATGAATTAATAATCTTGTTCCACATACATATGTACTTAAAGGAACTAGTTCAAATCTTAAAACTATAACAAAAAGAATTAAATTATAAATATATTTTTGAAAAAAGTTTTATATAGATTGTAAAGGTAACTATTACGAACGTATTCCTTTTTTTATTTACAACAATGTCACATGACCAGTTCTGCCAGCTTTTACGACAAGGAACGACAAAGCCTAGGCAAAGGGATCATTCATCGGGAACTCGTAAACAACCCGCAGCCGTTTCCTCCATTTTGTAACGATTGAAGCTTTCACAATATCATATCGAATTCCCGCGGGAGACGCGTAGTAAAAAAAAGCGGAGCGGAAGGCTAGTTATTAATAAATAAAATCCAGTTATTATAAAAGCATTATAACTGGTATATCAAGGGCCGCGTGCTAGGCTAGACCGCTTTCACCGAGTCTCCCCAGGTGTATGCGACCTCTCGCCAAGTCTGAGATCCGAGTGTTTTATGCAGCGCACTTTAGCTCGCCCGGCCTATTGCATCCGGCCGGTTGTAAAGAGAGCACTTTTTATTTTACTTTTTATAAAGAAATTTAATGTAACATGACGCCCGAACATACCTCGCTCAGACTAAATTACCGCATAAAGGGAAGTAATAAAAGACAATATTCACACCTTTAGCACACCAAAGTACAAACCATTATTACTCACGTTTGACAGGTTAAGTTTTGCAGTTATTTTTGAAAGGTTAGTTATAGTTCGTCTGCCAATTTGAGTACCGATTAAATTTTTGTGTGTTAAACATGTTTAACAATTTACTTTAAAATAGAAAAGTTTATTTGTTTATCTTTTAAATTTATCACGGAATATATTTAAGATTAACTTATTACAAGATTATTAAAAGTGAATCAATGAAAAACCAAAACCTTCCAGCAATGTAAAAAGATATTAGAAATTAGTAGGTACCTACCTACCTTTTTATTCATATTTAATTAAATAGAAGGATTTTAAAACAAATCATCACGGATGAGGTCGATGGTGGAGAGCAGTATAATCGTACATACCTACATACTAAAAAAAATAGAGTGCATGAAACATACATCATTTTTTTACTCAATGAATGATGTGTGTATTCAACGAGGTAAAACATTTCTTTCACAAAAACAGTGCTGTACAGACGCGACTTGCGACTAAAGCCCGATTTACACTGATCATGTGTTTAGTACAGTAGACAAGTACAGTGAGTAAGTACAGTAGTTTAAAACTTCGGACAGTGGCGAACTTGCAACTCGTATTCGGGCTCAATAAACATTAATATTGTTTGATGTTTAACTGAAGACGACTGTAAAGCAATTAAGGACGACTAAGCATTAATATTGAAAATTTTGTATTCCTTCCTGTCCGTTTTTTTTCAATTTCAGTACCAAGCTTCGAACCTAAACCCAAGTTACATGTTAAAGTTAAGTCTGAAGCCCCACATGTCAGTTAGCTATTGAAAAAAAAACTAACAGTCTATACATAGATAAAACTATTAGTATCGGGTTGAAAACATTCCTGTCTAGACCTATGAACCCATCTAGATTTCAGTCTGGTTCATGATGATCGGATTTCAATCGATTTGCGTGATTCCCATTGTATTAGGTAAAGTTAGATTCAATTGTTCGACTTTGCACCGTTAGCTGAACCGGCGATGCAGGGTACTTATATAGTCACTAAGTTTTGATCACTGCGATAATTCCGTGTATAGCGTGAGCTTATATTCAAAATGCAGCTGTCTGGAACGTCATTGAGAAAAAATGATTATGAAATGTTTTTCAATAATTTACGCTCAAAACTGTTTTTTTTTGGGACTTTTAAATCTGAGGTCTTTTAAACTGGGACTTTTAAATATCACTTTTTCATAAGCATTTAAATATCTCTCTATGATAATTTGATTAATACATAGTAAATTTAATGCAAACACATTCATTTATTCTTTATTAAATAAGTCGTTATTAAATGTAAATAAATTTAATGTCGAGTCAAAAAAATCCTTGATTTGTGTGGAATGAATAAAGTGATTTTTTTTTACCAATCTTGTACAATAGACAATAGTTTTAAAGCATGTCTGAATATTTTAGGTGTTTAATAACCATTTTAAGCAAAATATGTAACAAACTTATATGTTACTGTTAGGCTTTGTTGTAGCTTGGGATCTAATCAACAACAATTTTGGGATCAAACCAAAACCTATGAAATATCTACAATTTATTTTATTTAAAGCTTTTGGTTTTGAAAAACTTATTAATTCGTTTAGAACGAACGAAAAACGTGGACATGTATCTCATTCCATCGCGAAATTAATCCTCTTAAAATCTTTGATTATACTTCACAAGTATATAATCAAAGCTTAAAATCATTTCACGTGTAATTAATCTTCATCGACCGTATAGGGCTTTAATAAATTGACATCCTTAATTGATATCAATTAATGTATTTAGAAATTAAAATAAACATTTTTTTCTTTTTTCCATTACATTTTTATCTGTGCAAACATTTAGGTACCATAATTGACAATTTGACACTCAATAAATAACTACCTAGAAAATTAAGTGGAAGGAGTATAGATAATCCTCCATACCATTGTGTGACCTGTTATGCATCGTCCAATTTCTTCATTGCCACCGTAATTGATCGCCTAAAAATTGCATTATAATTAGTTCCACACACTTACATACGCAATTACAAACGCAAAAACTCATAAAAATCCCACGTAATAATGTATATAGGTAGCATATTTATTAATTGCTAATTTAACAGATAATAAAAATCGAGCCCACTCCGAGTTTCTTTCGCTCTTCACGGATGCCTAACGATCATAGAGAGGTCTTGAGTTGGCCTTTCCAAAGTGACCGAACGTGCTCAATTACTTTGAACCGACCGGGACTATTGTCTTCGAGCGTCCTATTAAATGTTGCTGTGAAGTCTTTCTCCGTTAGTACTAGGTTTGCGGTTCGAGACCCACGTAAATGAGACTCCCGCTTAATTCCTGAGGTTGTCGACACCAATGATAGTATGGTACTTACCTTTGACGAAATTATTAAAAGGTCCAGCGGAACGCTTTTGATACAAAATATGTTTTTTCCATTCATTTATTTAAAAGTGCCTGGCAGTGGCATCGTTATAGTCAGTACCGTCAGTCCCTACTAGTGTAGTAAGGAAATTCTTGGAACGATTCAAGAATTTTCTTACTACACTAGTATAGAAGAAAAATAACAGGCATGCATAATAAAAAAAGTTATTTATATTGTATCCCAAAAGTTTTATTTTTAAAACTGGTTGCGAAGCTTATTCTGAAGTTTGTAAAGGTGTCATATTATGGGTCATCCATAAAGCTTATGCTTAAAGTGCATTTTGCTTGACGGGTTCGTTAGGTAAGAAGTCGATCGGATACCACAGCGGCGCTATTGTTTCCACCAACGGTTTCAATGTAAGTTTAACACGTAGGACCTGGGATGTTGCTCGTTTAGAGCAAAAAGAAAAAGGGAGACAAGCAGGAACCTTGAAGAACTTGAAGTAGGAACGTCATTGTGAGCAGTCTATCTTCTTTACATATATTTTTATAAGTCTTCTGTGCGTGTGTATGTCACTGAATTCCTCCTAAACGGCTGGACCGATTTTAATGAAACTTTTTGTGTGTCTTCAGGTCGATTCGAGAATGGTTTAGATTCACAGTTCGTTTCTTTTTTGTTTGTTTTTATTTATTATTTGTTGTCGGATTTAAGTCACGTGTACAGGACAACGTCTGTTGGGTCCACTAGTACTTTATATTTATTTAATTTTGCACACAAAAGCAGCGGTGATCAATTACCATCATACATTCGGTGAGCAGCATGCTCGTTTGGCATCTGTTTCATAAATAAAAAAAACTAAAAAGTCCTTATAGACATAAAGATCCCTAATGTAACGTACGTATTTAGAGTTAAGAACCACAGGCCGCGCACACATGGCACCGTCACACGTGCAGTGTTGCATGCGTGCGTTGCAACGGAACTAAGTTTTAAGGCTTCTATTTTTTCGAGGCGCTACGCAATCTGTCTTACGCAGGATGGGCTACGATAGAAAAAGCTATGTGCAGCTGTCACCGAGGGCGAAGTCCTCGATATCATTATTTTTGTGGATCATCAACTCCTTACGAGTATTATTTTGTTCAGTTTTTAATTTTTTTTTATAGATCGTTCGATTCTACGGCCAAAATAGCCAAAATTAAATAATGTAAAAATACTTGGACCAATTCGAAAAGTGAAGTTGTAAGAACTGTCACCAAATGCGATGGCGTCGATAGAATGTACACGGCGCGTAATGGCAGTCGGCGAGGGTTAAATCCACTGTAATTGTACACTCTTTCGATGAACCGTTCGATTTGCTCTCACGGATGGCTGTACTGTCAAATTTACGAATTTCTTCCAACTACTATGATCACGGTGGTCTCTAATGTACTGGAGACCCCGAGCATTTTATGATAACTTACTAGTGGTCGCCCAGTGCTCGAAATTCGACCATAATTAATTATATTACATAGTAGTATTATTTACATGACAGTTTGTGTAGTGTCTTTTTTTATTTATTTAATATATTTTATATGCATAATTTTAAACAAACATTAGCATTCTGCACTCCTTCTCTATATAAACTATAAGTGTGGGGAATTTCATACTCCTCCGTCCGCGCATATTTCGTAAAAGGGGTAAAAAGTTTTTGCTTCACGTATTAATATATAAATAGTGGCTCGAAGATATGAAAGAACTCCTATAACATACACTACAGGCAGCGCAATAGATGTTCTGAGCAGCGGTCGCTTTCTTTGGGTGCTCGCTTTTAATTCATATATTAAATTGATGATTGCAAAGAGTTTTTAAGTGCCGTTTTACCACGTGGCCGACGATGAAGGAAAACACAGTGTAGAACAGTAAGTAACCAGGTTTTGATCGACCTGCATCTACCGGTACCGTGATATTAATGGATCTTTCAAGTGAAATGGCGAGCTTACGCTCAAGAATATTCAATCAATACATTTTTAAACTAGGTTATCAATTTTTCAAACACGGAATTTATTTAGGTAATTTAATTAAAATATATTATGTACTCATTTCAACGGTACTGAGTTTTATTTCTTTGTATACTTAGAGTAACCACTGTCGTTTTATGTACATTTTTGTCGTTTTATTTTTCTGAACATCCCCTGATACTAAGATCTGGCTACGCCCGTGGGTGCACCTGATGTTGTGAGTGTTGAGTGATAACTATCGTCCATGGACAGCTGCTTTGTCGACACTAAAGGCCCCGGTACCTGACTCAACAGAATAAACGCAAGTACAAATAACTCTAATTCACAATGGATTTCAGCATGTAAAAGTTTAAAATTTATAGAAATTTAGAATTTTAGCCACTAAGCTATCCGTTTAGCTTAGTATCTAAAGCGTCATGCCACTTTGTCGGCCGTGAATGCAGAAGACGTAGGTTCGATTCCCATAGCGGTGACAATCTTTTCGTACTTTTTCTACACATTTTAATGTTTAATCTTAAGTGAAATAAAAGTATTGCATATCATATTATTTTGGCTCTTTCAATTATAAAGAATGGAAATAACACGAGAGCGTAAAAATGCATGGACGAATGCAATGAACAATTTTACTGTTTTATCTGCTTACTGGTGAGAGGAGACCCTGTAATAATGATGTCATTTATCTAGAACGTACTTATTAATGTATACGTCCTAATGCTGGGACGTATAAAAAAGGCTTTCTTTGTTTAAAGTGGTAAAAAGTACATGAACCGATTGCCATAAAAATATATTTTTGTATTATATTATTTCTCAGTCTTGCTGAATTCCTCATGATTTATTACAAAGTTGAATTTGAAACGGACTGAAAACTATAACTAACTATATACAGCGAACTTCAAATGGGCCGGGCACTGAAGCACCATGATTCTTGAAAAATAACTTACTGAAGTTAGACGTGCGATGAGATGCTTAATGATGATTAAGTACTTGTCCCAAGAGGGAGAGTAGTTGAAAGTTTAAAGAAAAGCGAAACTTAAACGAAAAAAGGACTTGAGGACGTGTGTATCCGTCGACAGATGTGAATGAAGATGGAAGCTAACGTGTTTCCCGCCATAAGGTCGAAGACATATTGGACCTATTGCTCGTCATTCGATTAAAGAAGACATTATTCTGGTATTCAATTCTAGCATTCTTCAACAAACAATGTCGATGCAGTTTTATCCAAGACACGTTTCCATTAACTTGTACATTATTGTATCATATAAATCAGACTTATACAAACTGCGTATTATCGACGAACAAAAGCGATACGAACAATGTTACATGAAAGCGCACGAACAGCCCTAGCGCGCAGCAAATGCACTCGACTAGTCGCACAAAAGATGGAATTCAATCTGGCCGCGGGGCCGTTACACGTTCTCACAGCTCTAGGCGTCGCCCCGCAGACCTAGGCGGCCTATTGCGACACGCACACGAGTCTAGACTAGACCGGTGTGAAATTCGCGCCGCGTCGGCCGATGCTAGAACCGGTCGCCGCGCGGCCCAACTCCGTCGTCGCCCGAGATCCGGGCAACGTGCGAACGTCAATGATCTCGTTTTATGCCTGTTGGTGGTTCCGTTTCTTTTTTTTTTAATTTAGTTTTCCGGATTATGTCATTGTTTTTAATAATCGCCAGTGCCGAATAAATCGTTTGTTTTTTGTCTGTCGATTTCATCTGATAAATTTATTTTGAGAAATTATTTTTATTTTTGTATTTTTTTTTTTTTTTTTTCTTATAAAAGGCACGTGACGGTCGAAAAATTGAATTGTAACATTTGAAAGGTGTTATTATGCCGACGAACCGTAAGATTTTGTCCGTTTTGAAATTTCTCCGGGCACCGAGTGGCTTAATGCACCGCGGTAAAGTGTCGCATCGGCGAGGGGTGTGCTGTTCGCGTCTCAATGCGCCGCGGCCGCCGCGCCGCCCGCTTCCGTCGCAACCCGTAATGCACACACTTGTGGACTCATGATATCGGCCGCTCGTTTTCTCAGTGACCCATACCGAGACGGAGGCGCGAAAACGATTGCATCTGCTGGACCGCCGGGGGCCGGCTGGTGCGGCCGGCGAGGGGGCGCGGACCGGATCCCGGACCCCAAAGTGAAAACATCCACCCGAATAATAATACGCACCGCTCGCCCGGGACAAGTACGCGAGACGAATGCCGTTGACCTCCCGAGCATTCCCATGCCTCGAACTCGCCCCGCCGACGGGATAGGCCTTAATGTTAGGGTGGTACCACGCCTTTGGAGCTGAATGCGGCATTGAAACGTGTATTTGCACTTATTAGCTTTTATTTCAAAGACTAGCTTCCATGGGAGCATCGACAGGAGAGGCGACACAAATTAGACGGATGACTTTCGATACGTCACATCCGCCGCGTGGACGAATAATAAGTCTGCTGATAATATGAAAAAAAAAAGAGAAGAATTTGTATTCTGTCAATATAATTGATATATATATTATGAGAACGTAGTATATGTTATTTAATTATTGTTATTATATTTGACCTGAAGAAAGTAGTCATCATAATATTGTATTTATTTCACGGTTTTCTTCTTCATTTTTTTGTAGTATAGTATCTTCTTATAATGAGTCGAACGTCTCATTCAAATCTTAAGAATAAAAATACGCTATTGAACATTTTGGGACAATATACGTTGATAGGCTCTTATTTTTTATATTCACTTTTTTCAAAGTTATTTTATTCAAATGAAAATTTACAATTGCTCAAGCATATTGATGATTTGTGAAACCAGCTTAAGTGATCTAACAAATTTGAATTACTATTAATTATTAATTATCCAATGTGCACTCAGGGATTTGAATTAACGAATTACTGAACTTTTCAATTGAAATCATTCAATTGAAATAATTTGCTCAATTAGTGCATTAATAAGCTAATTTCACAACCGTGTGCACGTACATATTTCAATAATTTATCAAGTAATATTATATACCACAAATCTTATTGTTCCTGTTCCAATGTTTATTTTCGACACAGCCAAAGGTTGTGAATAAACGAGGATTATATGTTTTGCTGTGTTCAAAAATGTAGGACACTGTGTGACGAAATATACCTGTTTATAAAATAATTGTCATACGAAACGAATCTAATTTATTACTCGCCTGTTAGTGCGGTTACAAAGGTTGAGGAAAAATACAAGCGGTAAGGATAAGACAAGAATGAGCGGACACGTCGTTCGAAACTCCGTCGGTGTCGACCTTTTTTTTATTATTTCATGCGAGAAGGTGGCAAGTGAGCGGGCGGTTCAACTGACGATAAGTGATAACCGCCGGCCATGTACATTTTTGCAACACCCGTAGGTCGCTGATGCGTCGCCACCTTTTAATATAGTGGGCCCCGGCTACCTCACTCATCAGACGGAACGCAGAGTTATACACTTAAACTTCGTGAGTCGTGGGAGGTCGTGGTACTTACCTGGATGGACCCGCTTATTCGTGCAACAGCCGAAGCTTTTTCGTGGTCGTACCACAGTTCTCTAAGGTGCTTGCGAGAAAATCATTGATTAGATAGTGATTCACAAAATACCACCGTACGGCACCAATGATGAAAAAATTTGAATATTACAATATATTTTTTTTAGCGGCGTCGGTCTTAAAAGTATTTATCTGGGAATCTATTTAGTTTCCAATAACTTGATATTGTTGCAAATCAGTCTGCGCAGTATTGGCTATTGGCTTGGCTATTGAATTTTACGTTACAAATTGCGTTGAGTTCGACTCTCGCGTTGAAGAGTATTTTTGTGAGATCTATTTGTTCCTGCGATCTAGTTCTTTGTCAATATGAAATTTGTGTGTAAAACAAAGATATAACACAAATTGCGAAAAACCTGGTATCGCCCGGGTGCACTTTGGTATTAGAGTAAAATTTAATACGTCGGTATAATTGCTGTAACAGTAGTGACTGTTTCACTCAAACATATTCATGTAATACCATATCGATCAAAATGGATCGCAAATACATGACTCATTATTTTTTATCAACATTTATAAGATATTGTTACTACATTGAGCTATCAAGAGAACAATCAATAGATAAGACAGAAACAAGTAGAATATAATTTAAAAAACTAAAAAAAACCCGACTTCATTTCTGTTGATTTTTTATTTTTTACCTCTCAAGCTAAAATCCTTCAAGCCGTAAAAGCTGCAGAGCGTGCCAAACAGTCATACATACATACATACATAGTCTCGAAAATCATAACCTTCCTTCCGGCGCAGTCGGGTAAAAAGTAACATCCTATACATGCCCCACTGCGGATTGGCGGACTTCGCATATCTTCGAATTTTTTTACGCATTTTATACTTTGTTATTATTTCGAAAATATGCAGGTTTACTCACGATGTTTTCCTTCACCCGACCAAAAATTATTTACTACGGACATACGATTTTGAGCATTATCAAAGAAAGCTTTCAAGGGCCTTGTTCTATTTCGATTTTTATTTCTTCTATGTCCGTCTGAAACAGGATACCTTTTAAAGAGAATTTAGCACATACTATATTCTTGCGGATTATTAGTCACATACACACAATATTCTCATTTGTAATATAAACATTACCTTTAATATTATTTTTATGTATACGATCAAATACATTTATTGTAATGTTTTGTATATACGTCATAACCTTAATTATTACCTAAAGAATAGTGACAGACATAAAATAAACACTAGAAATAAGGACAAACTTACTACGCCATTGTTTCGTCTACAAAAAGTAAATAAGTCGTTCATGGGGCAAAGTGTACGCATGTATAATAAAATCCCACAGTCGATATTAAGTCTGCCGCTTGACCAATTTAAATGTAAAATTAAAAATCAACTGATGATTAAAGCATATTATACCATTTCGGAATATCTCGACGACGCCAATGTGTGGAGTTAATACTGTTGATACTCACGTAGGCTAGAATAAGACTATTATACCTGTATATTATATTGTACCCTGATATTTTTGAAAAAGAGCAACTGTTGAGTTTCTTGCCGGTCTCTTCTCAACAGAAACCGCTTTCCGAACCGGTGGTACCTTACGAACCTATACACATAATCTTTGATGTAAAATTTGACGATTCATAAGAGCGCGCAAGCGTCTATTTGAATAAATATATTTTGATTTTGATTTTGAAATATGTTTAATAAGACGCATACCTAATTAGATGACGCATGTCCATACTACGCGGCGTTAAATAACGATCCGCTTTACATTATATGACACATATAAGATAATGTGGCAGATGATATAAAAGTATGACACGGAAACAGACAGCAGTCTATAGATTTACACCAGTTGGCGTAATAATAGCGCCTCAGTTTCGGTGTGTTACTGTCATATCTATATTTGTATGTAATATCATTGTACACGATAGCTTAGATATAATGTCAAACAAAAATTGGCAGTCAATAAGTAAGTGTAATACTAAATATTGAATTGATAGATAGAGATAGAACAGGTATTTGCATTTGAATGTGAATTTGAACTTACGGTAAGGAAGGGATGTTTTTTTTAATTTCTAATTAAATAAAAAAAACTATAAGCGTGGTAGGAACTCGCAACTGTGTTTGCTGTTGCACGAACAGGCAGGTCCTTCCTTGTTAGTATCACGACCTCACAGAAGACCGGCGCGAAGTAGAAGTGTTACACTCCTGCGTTTCGTTTGGTGCGGGAGGTAGCCGGGCCCACTTTATTAAAAGCTGACAACGCATCTGCAACCCTACGGCTGTTGCAAATGTGCATGGGCGGCGGTTATAACTTAACATCAGGTGAACCGCCAGTTCGTTTGCCATTTTAAAAACTATATGGATGAATTTGTAAAGTATTCACTTTAAGAGAGAGCGGTATTATTTGCAGTTACTTATTCGTGGTCAGCAAAGATATAGTAGCGACCATGCGGTTGAGTGATTTTACACATTGCGTTCTTCCGTATATGGTTTCTGTCATCGGAACTATCTAGAAGTTTCCAATTGTAATATGAACTGCGGGCGCATTCCTTTCATGTATTGCCTATATCTTTATACTCGCTCGGATCTAGGGCGGTTTTATCTTTGATCTGATCAATGACAATTTATATTGCTGTCCATAATGTATCTGTTTGTTGGCATTTCGGAATGGGCGGGTCACATCAACTTCTATAGATTCAAAAACTTCTTTTACAGTCTGTACTTTGACAATTATCTATATATTAAAATTGTCTATTAATACCCTACGACGGAGTTAATTTGCTTAAGATATTTGGTACTTTTTATTATTTCAATTGAATACAATATTTTATTTTTCATTAGTTTCTCAAAAACGCTTTTAATTTATATCATTGTGCCTATTGTTTAATAAATAGTTTTTTTTTATTTACCGATTTATAACGCCGTTGACTATTTTGTTTGAATTTTATATCGAAGTATTGTACTCGACTGGCGAAGGACACGAGCTCACATAAGACGTACACGTAAAATTGCATTCCTTCCACTGAGTGAGGTGTTCAGCGGCCCGTACTTTCAGTGGCTTCTTAAATAGATTATTGACTAAGCTAATCTCTAGAAATCGCTTTCTATTTATGCATCTTTTTTTTTACAAAAGGTGGTTAAATTGTAGGAGACTATGGCTAGGAGCAATATCGTCATTTATTAATTTTTTTGAATATATAAGTTATATGACAAAATGGATCAACAAACATGTGAAATACATTTTAATAAATATAGTTTATAGAGTTTCGAATCCTTTGCAGTATTCATTGGGACGAAACAATTTATATTTATTTAAAATAATAAATTCTAAATTATATTTCGCCGTTGGCCTCCGGGCTGTGTCGTCCCATCGACAATACTGTTCGACAACGACAACATCACCAACGCATAAATAAACGAAGGTCAATTAAATGAATCAAATGATATCAAAATTTAACCTACTCTCGATTATCTTGTGACCCTTAAACCGCGCTTTCACCTTTCCAGTTAGCAGTCGGTGAGTGAGACACACTTAGCGTGTCACCTTTTCAACCATCCTTTATTGTTGCGACGAGGGCGCAAACCCGTTGCCGTTTTGTAAAGAAAAAAATATTTAATGGATGTCACCGACAATGGAATGAAATTGTGATAGGCGAGAGCAGTCTTTACGGCCAGTGACAAATCTTGTTCTTCGTTTTTCTTTTTAATAAAAGCAATTGTCCTCGTGTAAAGGGTCAGTATTCCACGATCTAATAGCGATTGTGAATTGTGAATTTCAATTATTTTAGTCG